AGTTTCTTAGAGAAAAATTTAAAGAAATAAATATGTTTACTTTGGCCTCTCAGTATATTTACGACAATTTAATGTATATTCACAGAAACAAAGATAGTTTTAGTAAAAAAAGTGATGTAGACTTTGTAAACACTAGGAACAAACACAAGCTAGTGATACCAGTCTCTCGACTCCACAGAGTCAGTAATTCATTCTTGGGGCAATGTATACGCTATTACAACAAAGTCCCAGAAAATATACAAGGTATCTCTATTACCAAGTTTAAATATTTAATTAAACAAAAACTGTAAAATAAGGGTTATTATAATATAAATGAATACATGGTTGATAATATAATAACCCCTGGGAATGAGGTGGTCGATTCCAAGCAATTTCTAAAATAAATTTTATAACTTAACTTAACTTATCTTCACGCACAATCCCTGACGGGGTAGCCAGAGAGAACAGATCGCCAAGTGTCACGATCCTTACAAACCTCTCTAAAAATAAATTTTATAAATAGTTTCTAATCATTTATATTGTAAAATTTATTTAAAAATGTCCCGCTGGGTTTCTTGCTGGTTCTTCCCAGGACAGAGGATATCGAACCAGTGGTAAAGTAAAAAAATGACTCAATAAGAATTACTTGTAATCAATATTGAATAAAAAAATTATCCCACTTTCTCATACTTCAACACAAAACAATCCTCTGTCACAACAAAACTAACTTACACATAACAATTAATACAATACATTAACAGTCACACACACAGTTACATTTTATCACAATCGCTCGATGACAGCGACAACTCAAATACAGACTGTTCTGTCGCTCGACCGTTTCGCATATTGTATGAAAAAAGAAAAGTAAATGTGATCAAAAATTACTTACATATGAAAGCTGGCTCCATCTTTTGTAAATTTGACGTGGTGGATCTTTTATGTAGCAAAAAAAACTAAACAATTGTGCATTGTGGTAGGACATTGATTCAGCCGCGCAACTAGGTTTAGTCTAGTGAGTAGTGCGGATGCAACTAGTTTTATTGTACGTACGCATAGGACCGACTTATACTGTGACAGAGGAGAACGTCTGCGTATGGCTACTCCCCCGATTCGTCGGTCGGACAATAAGGTAGTTCCTTTTTGTAAGACTGATAGTTTTTGTTTCATATACTCAAATATTTTGACACTATAAAAGAGTGCGATCCAAACTTAATGGCAGCTGTGAAGTTAGTGCTGCACACGTTCTCGCACTTGTACTTAAGTACAATAATAACATAATTACCCGCCTGCCAAACATGGCAAAATTCCCTTTATGACGATGAATAAATATATGGGGGAGCCCTATGTTCGTCAGTGAGCTTTAAATGTTGGTATGGTAACGGTATTTATAGAATTGAAAATATTTAGGTATTTAGCATAATAATAATAATAATAACCAAGTTCTCCAGACCGTTTTCGGTGGCCGGTCTCAACAGAGACTAGCCATTTGCGCAGGACACGGAACGGAAGCAAATTTTTGTAACGAAATTGTATATAGTAAAACTAGTTTTATGTTAATTGTATAAAGTTCAAACTAGATATGAGCCAAAAAAAGTTGCGCGTCTTCTGTGAAATTCTCGAGGATTCCCCTAGCTACTGCTGGCGCAGTCTGTGGAATCCGCGGGAAGCGGCGCGAAGGTTGTGGAATTCGCTGGAAGTCGGGAAGTGGCACTTGCAGGAACTTAGCTTCGAGGCCACATTGACGCTTCCGTTCCGCCGCAATGTAAAGTAAGCCTTAAAAGTGCCCAACTGAATGCGCAAACACAGGTGCACTCTATTCGCTCACTCTCGTAGTCCGATGAGACGGCAACACGGCCGGAGAGAGAACAGGGGTAGGAACAACAGCACTACTTTCCGAAGCACGGGGGTGATCACCGCCAACTTCCGAATAACTGATACTAACCCGACCCGGGACCTCATGATCATAGATAGCGTTTATGAACACTAGGACAACGAAGCAGGAGGCATTTAGATAGACACAGACAAATTCAAACCAGCTCTTGTATAATTCAAGTGAATATCGATTTAGTATTATTTATTTAATTCACTAATTCCATAGCGCCCCTACATAAGACGATTTATTAATTAAAACAATTGTTTTTATATTACGTAGGTCCTTATGTCGTGTACATAGAAAGCAGGTTTTATTAACAACTTGACTTACTGCACGAAGCCACAACAATTGGACTTAAAATAAAACGTGGTTCATAGTACTTAATCATAAGTAATTTTATTACTTCTTACCAATAACACCAGAGAAAAAATAACATCAATTTTTTATAATATATATTAAATCAGTATCAAAGAAAAATCTTTAGTAATATTATGTTATACAAAATTGACATTTATAAATACTAACAGACGGCTGAGATTAAATGTAAAGCAGTATCTATTTACTAAAGAATGACTAATTAAATAAATTTAACAACATTGTTCCCTGAAACAATAATTCGTTAGTTTTGTGATGTATTATTTATTTAGATTATTATAATTATTAAAATGAACACAATTGAAAGTGGCCATGGCGGTTTGCACAGGTTTGTAAATATATAAAGAAACCAATAAATCCAGTAGTATAGCGAGACGGGATCTTAGGATGGAAAGTTACGCTTCCCATCTCAATTTTTAATAGCTTTTACAGAGTATACTTTTGATAATTAAAAGTCCACAAAATAGGGATAATCACAAACTTGCCAAGGGCATTACATAGTCAAGTAGGCATAAAAATACATTTTATTGTTTTATTAATTTTTAAATAATAAACATAAACAATAGAATACATTGCTAGATTTTTAATGCTAAGCCACTGGATTGAACAACAGTTGTAAAAATAGCTACAATCAAATAACATAACATTTTTAACAAATTTGCTAAACCTACCATGTAATAAATATTTTTCAGCTATATTGGTAGTGTAGTTGTAGCACGAATGGGTCGGCTCGACCGGGGAACGACCACGCTCTCACAGAATACCAGCGTAAAATAGCAACTTAAAGCTCCTGTGTTTCGTACGGTGAGTGTGGAGAACCGGATACCCTTTTTACTGGAAACAAGGCATTCCATCTTAGTCCTCACGGGTGACAAAGCATCTGCATTTTCATTCGCAAACTGGTGGATAGATGTAGATGTATATGGGCCACAGCATCCACTTACCATCAGGTGTACTGTGTGCTCGTTTGTCACCCTTGTACTATAAAAAAACCCTCAATTTACGCGGGAAAACCCGTGTTGTTAAATTAATTTATTGGAAGTAGAAAGTACGCAAAAGCAAATTATGTACGTAGGTATATTCCGCTTATTGCATCTAAACATATATATAACGAATTTCGGTAAAATTGCACAAATTTTTACAAGGTGAAGTTGGACCATTTGAAAGCTTATATATAAGCAAAACAATTCATAGCTGAAAATCTGGCAAGATTTGTCAATCTGGGAGCTGAGTTATAGTAGAATAAGTAAAAGTGATTTTATGTATTACCTACAATGTAACACAGGCGATTTTTCACTGTAATTACACTGTAATAGGTTATTTTTCACTATAATTACCTAAAGATATAAAAGCAGGATCAGTATAAAATCACCAAAGAAAAACTGTGGTTATTTAGGAAACAAAATGTTGAAACCAGGTAAAACGATTAGGCATATCGATCTGAGATCGATTACTTGATTTTTTTTTATTTCTTGTTTTATTGTTTTTTCCAACTCTAGAATGTAAAGAAAGCTATTTTTTGTATTTTTAACTTTAGAAAAATATAGCCCTTTTTTTAAAGTATAAATCAATTGGTTAACTTCAGACCTAAAAATCCTATTCTTTAACATACAGAATCGAGAGTTAAGAATCCATCAATCAGCGGTAAGTAAACGAAACTGAATTAAATAATAATAGAAAATGAAAAGTAGGACAAGTATTAGTTTTAGGAAAACAGATTACAAATATCTTTTTTACATAAGCGATAGTAAGATATCACAGAATGATGTATTAATTATTATCGATTATAGATGTTTCTATTGAAATAAAATGTAACGTAACATTACAAACAGCAGATACAATGGTTCTTGCGTAAATTGAGGGCAGTGCTTATTTTATTATCATTATTTAATTGATGGTAGTGGAAAAAATTAAAACTAAAGTGCCAAAAAAACACACGCACTCAAAATACCCGTGTATAAATTAAATATACATAAACGTTAAAATTCTGACCAGCGAATTGATACAAACGGTAAATGTACATACATAATATACATACGAAGTATAGTCAGTCAATTCATTTTTCATTTAGCACACCTTATGTGCAACAATTATTTTATAGTCTTCATAGAATTTAAGAAAAATTTTATTGAAAATGTTCAAATGTACTTATACATAATATTATGACACAGAGTTACAGACTAGCATTCTTACAACTAATATTATATGTATAAAATATAATAAAAAATGCCTTTCGACCACCCTTTTGCCCTTTTGGTCGTGTACAGGAAATGTTCCTATTGGACAAGCACATCCTATTCTCAAAAATCTTTCGCTGCTGCCATTTTACAACCTGAATATTCCAATCGTTAGTAAATACGAACTTAAATTATTAAATACATTCAAAAGCGACACATTAATACTAGCAAACATTAATATACGTTAAATAAAAAAAAAAAACACCAACTACATTCAAACGTCGAGAAGGAATAAAAATTATTATATTATCGATCTGAATGCATTTACGTCAGCGGTGTTATTTCGAGACTCGGAAAAAATACTTCTGGTTTTTAATTAAGCGTGTAGTTACCAAGCTTTGGCATATTGAAGATTCATTGTATATTTCAGATCTAAGTAACTGGTCCGAAACCGCAAATGCAATTCGTTCAAAATTCGCCGTTAAAAATACACTGGCACATTACAAAGGGAAATGTTTCTTTGTAAGTTTAATGTGAAGGTGGTGCTGTCGGATCCTCCAAGTCCTTCTGTAAGGTAACGGGATGACGTTCATTTATCGTCGATAACGGCCGAGGTAAGCGCCGCAGTTGGGACACTTATGATGCACGTCCATGCAGCTGTCTATGCAGCACGGGATGAGACAGCATCCGCAGAAACATCTGTAATTAAACAAACGGGCAGGTCGTCATCTTGATCAGCCTGTGAGGGACCACCGCTCGGCATTGGCCTCTTTCAAATTGAGATAATTCAGCATAATCGAAACCCAGTGGGCTACCATCACACGCCGCGTAAAAAATTGTGCTTTTTTTATAGAATAAGGGTGATAAACGAGCATACAGTCCATCTGATTGCAAGTGAATGTTGTGGTCCATAGACATCTACATACATCCGGGATTAAGAATCAAAATACAAATGCGTTGTCACTCCTAAAGACTAAGATGGAATGCCTCGTATGTCGAAATGTTCAAACATTTACTTAAAAGCCAAACAAACATTTGTACTTGTGGATTCGACCCCGCGGCGTTGCAGTCTAGCCTCAGCCACAGTGCTACTTAGAGTGAAACAATATAATATACTAACGAAGAAGGCAGTGCTATTGGATACCGTCGCATCGTCCGCAGGTCTCTGTCCCTTTCCCCCCTAACACTCGACAGATTTTGTCTCCACTGCCGAGAGCTTTCGTTTGGGTTTTATTTATTAATTAAATAAATTAAATAATATTTTATTTAAGTTATTATATTCAGTATATTTTTGATTTTAGTATAAGTACCTTATAATTTTAATTATTTTCATTATATAATAGGAGAATACTTATAAAAATAAACAAATTACCCTAGTTAAATTTCATCACAGTCATGTAAAAGAGCATTGTATTTTAAATGCTTTTTTTCTATTTATACATAGTCATGTATTTGTATAATTTCATGTTTATATAATTTTAAATGAAGAATGCAATAAAATATAAATTAATAAATAAAAATATTATTATATAATTTATCACAACATCGAATTCTCACTCTGCAACCGTCCTCGACGTGACGCGACTCAAGACGAATCAAGGTTAAAACGACCGACTAGTTGTATTAATAAATAACTTAGCATAAATTAGTTTCGAAAATAATAGTATGTAGACCGTAGACTGTAAACCAGTGCTCTGGTACCCCACGGATTATCAATAAGGCAGGATTTTTTTGCCATCGCACAACTATTGGTACATTTTTCTACCGACTTCAAAAAGAAGCCGGTACTCAATTCGCATGTATGTTTTTTTATGTGTGTTACCGCATAACTTTTACTGGGTGAACCGATTTCAATGATTCTTTTTTTTATTTGAAAGCTGGTGCTTCACATGTCGTCTCATATAAATTTGATCAAGATCTGACCAATAGTTTTTGAGTTATTCTTAATAATTTATATTGAAGTCGGTTGTACAAAATTATTAATTATAAATTATTGTATTAACTTCTTTCTATACTGCTTAATGTTGTTTCTTTCCATTAAATAAAAGTTATGATAGCATTTTTAAATCCCATCTTCTTTTCATGATGTAGTGAAGACGTTTACAGCAACAATTACCGATAGGCCACGCCATTGTTGTTGTATGCGGGATTTAAATACGTAGCCCGCAATCAAACGTCGAATAACTGCGCTACTGGACCATCAGAGACTTCTAATTTACAGAGCGCGAAATGTTACAGGATGTGCTAACTCTAGTGCTCCGATAAGTGTGATTATCAAACTGCAATTTAACAACTATAATAACTCTAAGGCGTCTTCTTGGTTGGTAACGGCCGCACGACGAGATTAAATACGCACATTTCATTAGCGCGTCCTAATTGAAGCTTGCAAGTCATCGCTCGAGCACAGGAAATGCTTAATAACGACCGTACGATGGGTTTGGTGGTACGATCGTGCAATCAAAACTACAAATCTCTTTTGAGTGTCCTAATTGGTTACGCAACATCGCGCGAACGCAGCAACACAAGGGTTGAGGGGCACCGATGAGTCGAGTTAGAGACGAGTAAAGACCTAAAAGACTTAAGAGAGTAAAACCTGTGCATCTAATAAATAGCCATTGTTGAAACAGCACCGTTGCGGTGACGGCGCGGCGGTATCACGTGAGCTATTAGGACACCTGTTGGACCATCACACGACCTATTTCGCGTGCGATGAAATCGCATCGTTAACTATATAATTAACTATATAGTTAACGATAGTCAATCAAGACGACACCTTAGACTAAGAACTCATGGAGCGTTATTTACCCGCGCCCGCAATGGCAGCGGGACAGCGATACGCGTAGAATAAATGAAATATCTATCAGACGTGGTAGAGCCATGCTGCAGCTATATTAATTGTATAGTTGTAGCACAACCGGGCCGACTCGACAGGGGAAGGCCACACTCTCACAGAATACCAGCGTAAAATAGCAGCTTAAAACTACTGTGTTTCATATGGTGAGTGTAGAGAACCAGAGACTCCTTTTACTGGAAAAGAGGCATTCCACCTTAGTCACAGCTCTGCGCATCTGCATTTTGATTCGCAAACAAGAATAGATTTAGTTGTCTATGGGCAACAGTAACCACTTACCATCAGGTGGATTATGTGCTCGATTGTCACCTATATCCTATTTTAAAAAAGCTAGTAGAATTTCATAGGATGCGGTTGTCAAAGCGCTATACAGTCGGAAACCGCTGGGAACGCACACGCATAGCGGCCTGAGGACTGACTATCCAGTCAATCAAATTGCAAATAATTAGCCGTCCGATTTGTGTTCATCTCCAGGTAGTATCCACACAAAACTGATGCCTTGTGAGTTTTGAAATAAAATAGCAGTTCCTCAACCGCTGCGATCGCGGACAAATATCGCTACATGAGATCATGGCGTAAGATTTCTAGGCGCAGTGTTCCTACTCGATTTTCGATCACGTCAGCTACTTTCTTCTACAAGATACTAAAATAAAACACGAGTAATGCAAGACTACAAAGAAAACTATTGGTAAATCCAATTGTGCATGCCTTAAGCGCATTAAATAAATTACGTCTAATATGACTCTACGTAATTTTTTTAAAGTAGTTTAAATACATACAAGCTTGCACTAATAGCCTTATCATTATACTTCCTATTTTCCGATAATTTTATGTCAAAATCTAATAAAAAAAGTTCTTCAATTAAAAAAAACCAAAAGTACACGATTCATAATGCTCATATGATCATCATATAATCATTCAGGTCACTCCATAAAGTCCCAAGACGTATTTAAGTATATTTATATATAAATCCTACTTACTTTTAGTACGTAGTACTATTATTTATTCTATGTTTTGAAATATTGTAATAAAAAACTGTGATTATAATAATAATAAGTATGTATCAAATTTGGATTTTCGAATATTTTGTATTTGTACAGCGATCTTTTTGAGCACGAGCCGCTGCAAACAATCGATACAGTATCCACTCACGACGGCGGCTGAGCCCGAAGAGAGTGAGTGAGTGAGGCAGTCTATTTAGTAAAATAAATTATTACAAGGCTGCTAAAACACCGAAAATTTCGTGATATCTCAGCCGAAAAAAATTAATTATAACTAAACAAAACGAAATTAAACTGCCATTTACATTCCATGGCTTCCCAGATGATAGATTAAAAATTAGAATGAGTTGAAAAATTTATATTTTCAAAAACTAACGTGTTTACCCTTCCACGCGGACTTAAAAAATCCACACCATAAGCCACCAAAACCACTTTTTTTATGTGGAAATAGCAATTAATCGATTTAAAACAAAAACATTAATAAGTTCAACAATCATTTAATTTTTCTGACAATGTGTTTTTATATCATTTATATGTACAATATGATTGTTAGATACGATTTCATGCGATAAAACGTTGGAATGTTGATTTTTAGGCCCTAGTAGAACATCGTACGCGCTTCGCGCTTAAGGCATGCAATACACTTCCTCGTTCTAACCAATGCCCAATATTATTTTTAACGTTTATAATACGATAATATCTAAAATGCTTTGTGAGACGTCAAGAAATCAAAGGAAGCAAAACAGTGGAATAATTTGTAAAACAAAAACAATCGGTCCATCCATTTAAGCTGTAGGGTCAGCCAAGCAATTTTTGAAACATACCCACATACACATACATACACACACCTTCCTTGATCTTTTTCCCCCTTCTGGTGCAGTCGGGTAAAAATGAACATACCTCACCTTTTAAGACAAATATACGGGGAAATTCGCAATCCAAGACTGGCAACACTAAAAGACGACGTGTTAATTTTGTGCAAAAATTATCAATTTACCAAGTTTCGTTTTCGTATATTACTATTAGTTTTGAGTCAGTTACTGATGGTAGATTTTGTTAGTTGTTTGTAAACGTCCTTTGTAATTACTGCATATTTTGATCGCGCAACTTGTCATTTTCGACAAAATAATCTAACGCAAAAAATGAGCCGTTCGTGCGTATCTCTAGCAGTTACAATTGACACCGAGGAACAGGGAGCGCTTTAGAGGCTAACAGTTAGCTAATATTTTTATCGACGCTTTTGAACCGCCGTTATTCTAGAGAGTAAAAATAATCTAAGGTTATAGGTATATTTATGAGCAACGAAATATTTGAATTCATAAAAGTAATTATTAAAATGTATTTCATATAAACACATCGGATCGTGTGTGTATCTGTGGTTATGACAGAATCATCAGTGCTGTAGGTTATCCTGGAGCATTACGCTGAATCATAACCTTTGCACACAATTTCGATACACACCCCGTCACTTATAATTTTAATCGACCATACTTTTAACTGTTTATTTTTGTGATGTGTACAGTTTCAGTGAATAAATGTCTTTGTTTCTTTCTTTCTTTAAATATGGTACGGTACCTACACTATTTTTATTTGCAAGATGAATTCAGAAATACAGAAATAAAACAAGGAAAGAACGCACTCAAAGCAAATTCGTAGCCGTATACTTTGCATTAGCATTGTATGTGCGTAAGTCGTAATTTCACTTTCAAAATTCTATAAGGATAACTTTCTCTATTACATTCTCAGCTAGTGCGTCATCCTGTCTTGGCACATTAAACTGCAAAATTGGCCTGATTAACATCACCAAGTTAAGTAATATTTTATATTTTGCAAATAATAAAAAATTGGACATTTTTTTTTATAAAACAAACAAAATAACACACATTACACCTGATGGTAAGTGGTTGAGGTGACTCTTTGACATCTAGGTACATATGTACTCGATTAAGAAGCAAAATTGAGCTGCTAATTTAAGCTGTGGGAGAGTGGTCCTTTCCCAGTCGAGCTGACTTATTGGTGCTACAACCATAATGTAGCTTCAGCATAGCTATAGCATATAAAAATGTGTGACTGTGACTATGACAAAAACATGTTATTAAGGACCATGCTGCAGCTTAGAGTAACTTTTCATAGACTTTAGAGAGAAAGTATTTTGATAGAGTGTAATGATGGCCTACAAATTAAACAATTAGCAATAAACAAATTATTTCTCCATTCCTTCCGTTTCTCTATCCCATTAAAGAGCTATATCAATACTGTAAAGTCCTCACACACCACACACACATGCACACCGCCAATTATTAATTTTACATAATATTATGAAACAACATTCTCTGTCATATTACAATCCTTCTATTCTTACAAATAAAAGAAACAAAAGTACACATATCTTCTTCTGCTTCTTAGGTTCTCTTCTATACAACAAAATTAATTCCATTTTATCCATATACAAATTTCCCAAATTTAAATGCAAAAAGATGGTAGCCGATGGTAGGCTATTAAGTCAAGATTATGAAACAACTGAAGTACTACTAAAAATCATGAAATAAATCCCACACACTATACACACACACACTCACTCACACACACCCATATACACACACATTTGCTTTTTGTATATTTATTTTTTTCATACACCTAATATTACCTAGATTATAGATTGGTTTGCAGATGGGGGCTGGTGATCTGTCATACAGAGAATCCTAGTTTGGACACCAGTCTCTCACAAATTGATTGTAGCATATTAATATTAAGTTTATGTTAATTACTAAAGAACAATGGCAGCAAAAATAGTTGACAAAAACTATTGCGTCTAGAAACAAGTTATATATAAAATGAGTTTTATTATTTTTCTATGATTTTTCAAATAAAAATATATTTTAATTATAGCCACAGAAAAAACACACATTTTTGGGAATATTAAATGACTTTAATCATTTTACACTATTCAAGTGTTGCCATTTACTATTTTCGTATACACTTTGTAAGACGACACAGTACACAAACACAAAATATTTTTTATAGGAAGTTATTATTAGTAATAATTATGCTATCAATAATAATAAAAATAACAAGTGATATGGTCGAAAATAAGTCTCTTACAAAGAACTTCCTACAAAACATTATCTCAATTATAGTACTATGTAACAATTCCATTTAATGTTATGGCAACATTAGCTAAAACTAAATATCACTGGTTTTTTTACTGGCTTTACGGTTCTGGGTCCTAGCCCTTGTGACAATATCACTGTATGACACAAAGGCCCTGGAGCCATGCCAGAAATATATATTTTTACTATGCAAATATATAATAGAGATACAATAATCTAAAAATTCTCAATTATGTAGGTAGGTACATTATGTTGAGAATGTATTAAGCTAATATCAAACAACCACAGGGCGCATGACTTTTTCCAAGTGACATAAGACATAACGTAAAAAGGTTCAAATCTAAATATCTTTTTTCTTTTTCTTTGCTTAATATTTTAAGATATTTTAGATATATAGACGCTACGATTCCTTCTCAACTAATTTTATGTATGAAAGTCAACCATTGTTCTTTGTGAGAGAAAAGAATTAACTTTATTATTATTATTAACTTTATTCCTAAATTAGGCCTGGAATATAAATATATATATACCTAGCACTTTAGGTTATAGCATTCACAAATCAAGTAAATAAGCCAGCTGCTATATCACTAGGAAATAATCTTACCCGACAAGGAATATAATGGTTCCAGTAATATAAGCTATGAGGCCTGGCTTCGTCTGCGTGGCAGTGTCGATTTCAGCAAGGCAACTCGGACATATCATGTGTGTAGGTTGAGATCCTACAGGCACCACAGTTGTCACAATTTGGGGGCCCGAAGCTAAGAATATAAATATGGTTCATTAGTATGAGTAAATAAATAAAAGAGATATCTATTAAAAGTATACAAAAGACAATGGCAGCATGAATGTATTACTGACTGTGTGGAGTAGCTGAAGCGGATATTTAGTATTAATAGTATTAAGGCAGAAAGAAATTAGAAGAATAGGCTTTATTGCTGCTGTGTGTACAGATTTAGACAACTACTACTTGAATTGAATAAATAATTGGCAAAATATCCAAAAAGGAACGGGTTTTAAATTGTTTTTTTTTTTGAGAACTATATAAGTAGGATTGTGATTGTCTACGTTTTCCTCTTACCTTTTATATTCTTAGATTTGAATACTAGATATCAGACATCCAACATTTATCAAAATATGAAAGCACCTATCAAGTAATATTAGTGAAAATAGGTTAAAGGTGCAGCAGCTGGGGTGGCACCTGGGCCATACTAAAGCTGCAATCGTTTAATTCTATCACAGGGAAATTGCTTTACACTTTCTTTCCCTTACACTATCATAAGGCAGGATACTAAGAAATGCTTATTACTGTACAATAAATACAATAAATTATTGTATTTTCTTTCACAATAACTACACAGTTCTGCATCCTTTGTCACACAGGGGAGCTCACACAAATCAAAATTTTCATCAATATATCTTTTTTTGATATATATTTTTTAATTATAAGTTTTGTAAGGTTGAATACTATTAATAAGAAATTTCTTTCAATACATGCCTTAAAAATAGTAATTACGTTCATAAATCACTCATATATTTTGGAGATAAGGAATAGATGAATTATAGTATCCCGTTAGGCCATTGAAGCAATAAAGGTGTAGATTAATGATTCTTTAATCAAATATTAACAGCATGAGTCACTATCATAATTCACCGAAGTATTAGGTCACATTATGACCTATCAGAATCTGTTTTATAATGCAGTATTGGTTAATTTTGTTTGCTAAACGCAATATTCTGTACTGTTTGTTTTAGAACAAACACCTTAACTATGGCAATAAAATTTAAAATGTTTACAAGGCCATGACATTACTACATTCACGAATATATAAGGTCATTTAAACACGTGAATAAGAGAGACAGTTATACTTACATGGTGGGTATTGTGGTGTATAAGGACTTGATGGTCCAACGCCACCTACTGCTTGAGAATAACTCGGAGGAGCAGCCGGAGGCGGCTGCACAGTGTGCATATTTCCCCAACCATATGGCGGCGGATTACCACTCTTTTCCATTTTAAGCTCTGTAAAACGATGAACACAGTTAACCAGACTAGTAATATACTGCAATACGATGCTTACAACGTGATGCAATACAATCTTGAAGTTATTTTTAGGAATGATTCCATTAGGTAAATGGCAGATGCTATTCCGTCATAAATCATAGAATTAAAATGAAGTTAATTTACACATACCCTATGTGTATGCTCTAAATTCACTAATTAGTTGCGCAGCGTTACTTAAATATCTCCTACAAATAATGGTTTGATTTTAGTTATCGGAGTTTTTTTCTATTACAATTCAGAACCATTACCTACGTACATCATACAACTTATATCACAGACTAACTTGTAGTAGAGTAGAGTAGACTCTATATATCACTAATAATCATAATCAATAATCACAGCAAAGAGTATAGTCAACAAAGAGTATAGTAGCCAAGGAGTATAGTAACCAAAGAGTATAGTAACTGTACTATTGTCCGCTTATCTTGACGCGTGAGTGATTGGTAGCACTGTTTACTCAGTCGCCATCAAAGAGTATAGCAACTATCCTATACAGGAAGATCTTTTCACGCGTGTTCTCTAATATAAATCGAATTACGAAAAGCTAACGCTTCAAACTAAAATATATGGAAAACAGGGAACGATTTCTGATAAAAATGAATTATATTTAGGCTTAGATTATTGCTTTTTCTTTTGAATTAGTAAAAAAACTAACGGTGAATGTATTATTTATACTTTTATTTCACGTTTTAATCAAAAATATTTTCTATAATAATAACGAAATAGCCTAGAGATTTAAAATAGAAAAGGCCGTTTTAAGTGTTTTTACCATTGTTGACGATATTTTTCTCGATAATAAAGATTTTTTTTTTTATAAATATCGCGCGGTGAAATGAAGACTCATCTATTAACTAATTGAGATTTTTTTATGGTGTCTTTCAATGAAGTCAGTTCTTTAATATTTTTAAAACCGTAACTACCTATTTGCGCGTTCCTTAAGGACCGGCCTCTTAAGAAGCGATCGAGCGGAACCAGGGCTCCTAAGGCTTTGCTAGAGATATGTCTGCCAGACAGAGCCAGCTGTCGAAGTGAAGACCGAGTGTGGTAGCGCCGTTTCCGCGACACCTTAGATTTTGAGTGAGATTAAAAGGTTCTACGGGCAGCTGCACACATCATTGTTGGAACCATATGCAAGTGTAAGTAACGATACAAGAGCAAGTCTTATCCGACACTATTCCGATGATATTCCGGACGTCAGTCTGAGCGAGATTAGAATAGCTCTCCGGCACCGATTCCGTCAAAATTTGGGCGGTGCTGCAGTCCCTTCAGTGGTACCAAGTTGATTGTCGGTATATCGAAGTACTGAAGTGTTTGTACAGTACCGAAACCGATCCAACTGCAGAGAGGTGTAAGACGGGGTGACGTTATTTCCCCGAAACTCTTCATCGCTGCATTGGAAGATGTTTTCAAGCTACTGGACTGGATAGAATACGGTATTAACGTCAAAGGCAAGCACATCACTCACCTTCGAATTGCCGACGATATGGTCCTTATGGCAAAATCGCTGGAGGACGTAAGATCTATGCTCAATGACCTCGATAGTGTTTTCCAACAGATAGGTCTTAAGATGAACATGGACAAAATAAAAGTCATGTGTAACGCCCATGTGACACCTATATCGGTAGTTGTTGGCGACACTAAGCTCGAAGTTGTTGACGAGTATGTTTACCTGGGACAAAGAGTCCGACTAGGTAAGTCCAACTTCGACCGAGAGGTCAATTGACGGATCCAACTCGGCTGGGCAGCGTTCGAGAAATTACGGCATACTTTCTCGTCAAAACTAAAAAAATAGACTGTACAACCAGTGCGTGTTGCCAGTGACCTATGGAACTGAAACGTAGTCCTTTACTGCTGGCCGTATGAGGAAGCTCAAGGTCGTTCAGCGAGCTATGGAGAAGGCTATGCTCGGGGTTTCTCTGTGTGATAAACTTAGAAATGAAGATATCTGCAGTAGAACCAGAGTTACCGACATAGCCCAAAGGATTAGTAATCTGAAGTGGCAATGGGCCGGTCATATAGCCCGAAGAACCGACAACCGATGGGGAAAAAAGGTTCTGGAGTGGCGGCCTCGTACCGGCGGACGAAGTGTAGGGCATCCCGCCACTCGATGGAGTGACGACCTAGTAAGACATGCAGGAAGTCGATGTATGCAGGTGGCTCAGAACCGTGCTTTGTGGCATTCCTTGGGGGAGGCCTATGTACACCAGTGGACTTGTGAAGGGCTGTAACGATGATGATGAAGAAACGGTATTTTAAACTCATTACAGGTTTATGTTTTTTTTTTGTCATAATAACGAGCGCATATTTATAACCTTCATTTCTAACTAAATTATATTAATATCAAAAGTAATCACGGCGTAGGTAAATAATATTATTTTAGTCAAAACAGATATCAGTTTCTTGAAACTCGATTAAGTAATGGAAATGTGTATAGTTGTATGTATTTATGATTGAACTTAGGTATATTAATTTATTGTTTTGTAGCCTGTTACACATACTGACAAACGTGAATGAGCTTTACGCTTTAATAGTATCTTATGAAATTATTATAGCAGTTAAAAAGAATAATTCGCACCTGGGCACAGGCATCCTCTCATCAGAATTACTCTGATATTTTATTAGTTCAAGAGAGAACATAAATTAGTACATTAATTCGTGTTTTTGAAATAGTTATATTTAAATTTTGATAAAAACAGGTTTTCTTACAATTTTTCCATTATCGTTGAGAACGCGGTAAATGTATAATAAATAACAAATAAAACATTTTATAAAACTAAACGTACGGTTTTCATCGCACTCCTTTAGAATCGTGATTAGAAACGCGATGAAATGAGAAAGCGACACTGAAAAGAGATAAACATGTAGATCTATAGGATAGTCTATAGATGTATATTACCAGTACCACCTTGAGAATCAATCAATTTTTGTTCCGTAAAATGACTTTACGTAAAGAATGAAGTAGATGGCGCCATTACAAAGCAATTTTACTGGAAAAAAAATATTATGTTGATTTATTCCACTAATATTTAGGCAGTACATGTCTTAAAATAAGGATTGTAACATTTATTTGCTATGAAATTAAACTTTAATCTTATATATTATACCACACATGATATTGAAAATTATCATATATAAATCTTTCATTTGAAGTCTAAATTTTCTTCATTTGAAGGTTTCACTTCTACCGCGTGGGAACACATGTTTTTATTAATTTCTAACAATTCGGGCTTTACGGCACCTATGATCACCGGTTGGAGGGTGGACTGAGGTGTTTGACGTCCTGGTGCCATTGTAAAGAAAGGCTACTCTCAATATTTAAATGTTAGGTTTTGGTCTGATTTACGCAGAACAAGCTTATAGTATCTTAAAGTCTTGCAAAGGTAAGCCTGGGTGTGGATTTAAGTTTAATAATTATGGGATCCCAACCAGATGGTAGCCCTCTCGTCTATTGAAATTAGGTTCGTTTTAATTTTAATAGTCTCGTAATTTATTTTATTCTTTGATAATTAGCAGTTGACCGTAGCCACCACAAACTAAAAAAAAGTTTCTCACAACGTAGAGTAGAGTATGGTAATAATTGCGTCATAGTCAAAATTAAAATTATGACGTAGACTAGACTAGACCTTTTACAGATAAAAAATGTTTTCCTTGAAGTAATTGGGTTAAAGGTAAAGGTAAATATTGTAATTTTCAGAAAGTAATTAGTTTAAAAGTAAACATGCTGTGGAATTCTAACTATTTTGTTAATATGCGTATATTGTGATTAACATTTAGGTAACTATTGCTTTCATGACTCATTTAGCTCATTTTATATTGTTCCAAGTAGATTCTTAAAAAATGTCTTCACCACGCCCAAAATCCCCTAGAACACCTGTTTTGCCAAAAAAGGAGGATAAAGAGGAATCTTTTTGGGACAAAATTGGCACTATTGGCCGAAAGAAACGTATAAAGGAAGGTATGTAGTACATATTTTAAGTTTGCGAAACTTCTGTTGTGTAGGATGCCAATAACTTCTTGATTACCTCAGTCTACTTTTGCTATACCACGCTTTGTTGTGACTCAATTGCTTACAAATTATTATTTAATACCTAAGAGAGATTCTTTATAAATTTTTTGTTAACTTTTGTAACAAATAGAGGATTTAATATATGGTGTACTTTTTGACAATACCTAATAAACAAAATAATTATTTATGTAGAATATGTAATTTTTTTGAAATTCTGTATTTTTATTATTTATGTAATAGACAATTGTAAAATCTATCATATATGTATATGTATAGTTCAAGATGTACAAGCAGAAGGAAAATATGCAATTGATTCACCTGGAAGTCCAACTGCTCCAGAAATTCCGCCTGAAGAATACAGTCTTCGTAAGTTCATCTACTTAACTAATTTTGTTTGTATTAACATATCCTTTGATATTTCATTGCATGTGATATATTTCCTTTTCACTTGTTGCCTATTTAAATTAATTAATTAATTTATGAAATATGTTTAAAATATTATAAAACTTAATCATAAAATTAATAAATATTTTCATTTTACCAATTATACATAAACAAGCCTGTCACACAGAGGGGTAGGCAGAGGCTATGTACTTCCATTTGGCATGATCCTGACACACCCCTGTAGCTTCCTCCACATCCATATACCTACGCATTCACGCTCGTTGGTTAAAGGTACTCTTGATTTGGCCCATTTTTAATATATTGGCAATTTGGTCAATAAACTTTCGCCTAGGGCGTCCTTTCCCGACTCTGCCGTTCACCTATGCAACATAAATTTGCTTTGTCACTCTTTCCTCATCCATTCTTTCTATATGACCAAACCACTGAAGCATTCCTTCTTAATCCTGGTCCATCATCATCTTGCAAACAACACTCTTCTCTTATCAAACAATTTCTCGCTCTGTCATTCAGATTATCTCTAACATATTGATTAAAGACCCCATTTCTACAGTATTCATTCTACTCCCGTGCTTCTTCAGCCACACCCAACCTTCACTACAATTATTTGTTTACAATAAAACCTCTTCAGTATATGTTCCAATAGTACCTGGATATTTGGTATTCAACCAATTATGGTAAAAGTAGCCGAATAGCCCCAATACCCAATAATAAGACTAAAATAAGAATAAGACTTGCAATGATAATTCAGTAATTGCAAGTCTATTTATTAGAGTAAATTCCAATAAGGCCTAAAAGCTTCTGAAGGCCTCTAGGATCTCTTACAGTCCAGATCAACCTTTGTGTTATTCTAAAATTACTTCCTATATTCTTAATAACTTAGACAATGTAATAGAAAGCTGTATTATTATTATTTGTACTGATAAAACATTTGGATATTTTGTATACAATGTTACAGTAGTTAACTCTGTACTCTTACTCTAATAAATTTCTATAGCTTTCATAGGAGTTCAAATATTTGTAGGAAATCCAAAAATTATTATTATTTCACTCTTATCATTAATTAAATAAAAAAATTATAATCATTACATTTTGCACAGTAATTTTCAACTTCACTCATACAGTTCTTTGCCACCTGTATTCTCACTTTCACAAGTAACTTTTATGTAATATTATTTTATTAAATTAAATTTACAAACTTAGATTGTAGAATAAGTACCATAGTAATTAAACATTTAAATTTATATTTTAAATGTAGCAAGCTACATAGTAAATGCTTTGAAACTTAATGAAGGACAGGAAGTCCATTGTGATATTACTGATTACTTATTTTTAACTTGTTATATGTGTTGTACAGTTAGTAACAAGATAAGGCTGCAGTAACATGTTTAACAATTTAATAAAATGGCTTAAAATAGTTATGGCACTGATATCCGGGACAAAAATAAATTATCTTGCAGATGACAATGAAGAAAGGGCGATAATCGAACCTAGATCCTTAGAGGACCCACGGGTAAAGGAACTGATACAAGTCCTGATAGACTGGATTAATGATGAACTTGCTATGCAGAGAATTATTGTTAAGGACATCAGTGAGGATCTTTATGATGGACAGGTTTTACAGAAGCTTCTTGAAAAGTTGACAGAAACAAAGTTAGATGTGCCAGAGGTGACACAGTCAGAGGAAGGACAGCGGCAGAAGTTGGCTATTGTTTTGAGAGCAGTTAACAGGGTAATCAATTACTTTTGTCTCATATATTAATTATCTTATATATATTATATATATCTGAACATTACTATATCTGATATAGTAATGTTAAGTCATATGATGTTTGTTATTTGACCGGAGTATTAAGAGGATATCTATGTGGCATATAATCTGTGGAAAATGCCACTAAAATATTTTTTAGTACAATCCAAATTTACTAAAGCTACCTAATAATACTGCCATTTTTAGACAAACAAGTCATATCAAGCAAATAAATTTAACAAACATAAAAACACAAGACAACCGTACAGACATTGCCACAATTCTTCTTACATTGGTCTTTTCCTTTTTACTGGAAATGCAACATTCTATTTTAGTCCTCAGGGTAACAACACATCTGCATTTTGATTCTTAATTAAGTATTAAATGTAGATGTCTATGGGTCACAGCATCCACTTACAAATAAGGTGGACTGTGTGCTCATTTGTCACCCTTATTCTGTAAAGAAATATCTTTTATATCGGTTATCCAGTCTGGGCTAAGGTTGTCTCTCTTGTTTGCCTGGGTTAGTTATTTTATTCGAATTTCTGCAGATTTCTAGATATTGTCTTAACACTAGACAGTGACAACATTAGCAATCAAAGACACGGATAGTAGTAGAGTTTTGATACTGATGTTATCTTATAATACAATAGATCACATATTATCTCTGCCCTATACCCTAGCCTACCTCTATTATGACTCCTGCTTAAGTATTACATACACTGATATTGAATATACATAGCATGTTTTTTTTGTCAAATTATATGTAAAAATAAACAGGTCAACTTTGTGTTGATCATGATGCGGTTATGAGTTCATACTAAGTACTAAGTAAATGACGTCATTGTTGATAACAATTGGTCACAGAATGTGAATTTAATGGTACGACAATATTTTCTTTTGTTATAATTAAAATACATCTTCATTATGATTTCAGGGTCATAGGATCTTTTTCGAATAAAATAATAATTTTATTTTATTAAAAAGATTGACTGAATTGAATAAAAGTTTAGGAGTTCTTGCATTATAAAACGGGCTCTATGTTTAAAATTGTTACAAATGTTAAAGCTTTTATAAGTTAATATCATCACCATTTTCATTGCAACACCAAAGTTTCTCTCATTATCTTTAGTAGCTGTTCTTTGTCTCCTACGTCCACAGCTGGAGTCGTGTCTTTTAGGAATTTGGCGTATTCGCGAAGCTTATACCATTGATGATGCTGCAACCCTTACAAGTCAGAATATTTCACATCTGGAATCTATCGAAGACCAAAAAGTATTCCTAGCTAGCTGGTCTAATGAATTTGTAAAAGCCGGTCCTGGCTAACATTACAAAAATCACTGAAACAAGACTTTTTCTGGCTTGTCCAATAGTCGTCTCTTACAAACAGCTTGGAATGAAATGGGTATCAAATTTTTTTCGCGGCACCACCGGGCGAAGATTCATGACGTGTAAAAAAAACTAAGGTCTTAATTAAACCAAACAAGGTGAAGACGGATAAAAATATATTAATTTATTAGGTGCTGTTCGGTACATCTAAGCCTGCTCAGAAATGGAGCGTGGACTCGATCCATTCAAAAAACGTGGTGTCGATACTTCATCTCCTGGTCGCGTTGGCGCGTCACTTCCGCGCGCCCGTACGCCTGCCCGAGAACGTGAGCGTAAACGTAGTCGTCGTAAAGAAGGATGCACCCAACCAACTTTCTCATAGGTAAGATTTACTTTTCAGATGTTCGCAAGAGCGTGCATGAGGCATGAGCAACTGACTTTCACAATAGAAAGGCATTTATTCCCGGGGTCGTATCAAAATTTTATACGAAACGGGGTCTCTTATACGTTTTTGATACGGGCCAATGAATAGTAAGCAAAATGTCTATGATATAATTTTAAAAACCCGACTTTTATCATCGGATCTGTTTAAAAATCGATTTTATATTCAGGACATTACAGTCCCTCATAATTTCTATGTATGAAAGCCGTTTCTATTTATTATGGTCTACTTTGCTACTAGTCTTATATGTTACAGATTTGCTCACCACACCCCAATTTGCTTTCACAATATCTCTGAATACAGGTGGGAATCTTTATTAATTTTCTTAAATTTCAAAATTACAATAGCACAATAGCAACATAATGCTTCTGTGATTCGTATGGTAAATGTAGTAAACTGGAGATTCCTTTTGTTGCTGATGAGGCATGCCATTTTACTTCTCTAGATTAAGATGTCTAACGTATGCATTATTGCAGAACGTACATAGAAGACATCACGACGACGTACGACGACCTCGGCATGAAGTGTGAGCGTGACGCTTTCGATGCCCTGTTCGACCACGCGCCCGATAAGCTGCAAGTTGTTAAGAAGGTGAGCTTTACGCACAACTTGGTATTTTTTTAAATTCTGTTTTACGCTAACATAGACCTACTTGTATATAATTTTTGAAATTATTTAAATTTCATACAATATTTCACGAATTGCGACGATGTTCTCGGCCGATCTGACGTTCCTTGAACGTTAGGATGTTGGCTGATTGTTTACCGAACCGGTCGTTTCAAATTTGGCCACCAAACGTTGAAGAGTAGACTGTGAAGGGTCATCACGTCTACCGTAAAATGGGCGCAATGCGCGCAGCGTTTGCACTAACGAACACTAATTTTGATAATAAAGTTTTATCATTTGAACGTGCTGTTCAACCGTGTAACTTGCTATGGTGATTTGGCATAAGTAACTCAATAATAAACAAAAGATTTGATAGATGTCACCAAAACAAAATGGCCGCCTCGGGCCGCCAAAATAAACCCGCGCCAATTGAAAAACCCTTTAGCACTTTGCAATGATGTGTCATCTATAAGAGTACACACAGTCCCTAGATTCAGCCTACTTTTTTTCTTTTTTTTACATGGGGAAATGCCTATGCATACCCGCCTCGCGGGGGCAAGTACGGGTTATGTCGGACTCGCACGGACTAAAACCCCATGGTGTTCCACCCTCGTCGCATATTGGCAGGGCCACGGGAACGCTTTTGCACACTTCCGCGGCCCCTCCTCGGGAGAGGACCACTCCTCCCCCATCTCCTTTTTCGGTAAGGCGCACCAGAACACATGGCGCGCCCTCCTCCTTGGCCTCCAATTTCACATGCGCAACGGACGCCCCCGTGTCCGATGCGCGAAGGCCATGGGGCCAGGAAAAACTAGCACTCGGAAGCACCAGCCTTCCTGACTCCAGCGGTGGATCTGGTCTATGGCTCCGCCGCCAACCAAGATTCGGCTGCGGAGGGTAGGGAGAGCCTCGCAATACCGACACTCCTCTCCCCCCGCGGCCCCACCACCACCGCATCAATTGACGGTGCGGCCCCGTCTGAGTCGCGGAGGATAGGGCGAGTGGCGCATCGCCATACCAGCACTCCTCTTCCTCCGCGACTCCACCTCGGCCAGCCAATGGGTTCTTCTTTGTTCACCGCGGTTGACCAAGCCACGGCTACTAAGCCTATACTTACAATATAAATGTTATAAAGCTAGTGTCCTATGGATTAATAAAACTGAACTACTACTGAAAATTGTATATTTATTTTTACCAAGTAATAGGTGGACGATGTTTGTACACGAGAAAAATTACATTTTGCAATTGGCGAATTCAGACTTACAGATCATAGACAGGTTTTTACGTGAAGTCCAGGATTTTTAATGTCTATAGAAAAGAATAAAATTTCTTCGTTAGTTCTTGTTTCAATCGTTATTGAATTGATTTCATATGTCATCATTCGTTTTTTTTCCAGTCGCTCATAACATTCGTCAACAAACACTTGAGCAAAGTGAACCTGGAGGTTATGGATCTGGACACCCAGTTCCACGACGGCGTGTACTTGTGCCTGCTTATGGGCTTACTGGAGGGCTTCTTCGTGCCGCTCTACGACTTCCACTTGACACCGCAGGACTTCGACCAGAAGGTCCACAACGTCACCTTCGCTTTCGAACTGATGCAGGACGTTGGACTCGCCAAGCCCAAGGCTAGGCCTGAAGGTATTTCTAGATTTTACCTTTACTTCTGTATTATCTATACAGCTAAAAGAAACCAATTAATTTCAAGGTTGCTACCATTCGTCACCATTAAAATAGTGTGTGAGAACTCAGTGTCCAAACGAATAATCAAACAAAAAATCTGTTTTGTTTGAAGTAGGTCGTTAGAGTCCCTGGACTGCAGTAGCCACTTACTATCAGGTGGACTGTACGCTCGTTTGTCAGAACAGTTTAAACACAAACGATGAGTTTCCGAGAACAATCAAGCAAGACTCGATTCTAGCTTCATATGAGTAACGTTGACGAAATGTACAATATTGTTGCCGTAAAGAATTTTTAAACAGTGTGATGGTGGCGTAGTAGAATCCATCACCGCACTTTGTATCGCTGGTGTCATATGAGATACGGATCCGTGGCGCAGTGGCTTAGCAATGAGTTGATGCGCTGATGGCCGCGGGTTCGAATTCCGCACGGAACAAATATTTGTATTGCTTAGAAATAATTGTTCCGGGTCTGGATGTTTGTCCTCGTGCAATCTGTGGGGGTAACGTTTAAAAAAAAATAAAAAAAGAAAGAAAAAAGATGACTAAGGGAAATGCCAGAAAGATTTCGAATCTTTGGATAGATAGTGAAATCTTCTTGTATAATCTGAAAATGTAATTATGATATACAGGGTGTCCGGTTTCCGATGTCCGATACTTTAAGGGGTTAAAATACAATTAATTTTATCAACAAATCAGGGATCAATGATTTTTTTTTCGCCATCAATAAAAAATGGCAGCACTTTAAAAAAAATTGTTGGCGAAGCATAGATGCTTGTATTAATTTAACAATATCTACCCAAGTAGAAGACTTTCAAAAACAAAATTGGTCTCAAATGTTAGTTAATAGTGTAGACAATAAATCTAGATTCAAAATATTATTTTTTAATTTTTCAGTATTAGTAAAAAACATTTTTGAAAAAATAAATTAGACAACAAATTGATGTTGTTTTTCAGATTCTTAGCTTTAAAAAAAAACCATCGTGTTAACCAATTTTTTTACTTGTTTTTATTATAATACAGGATATTTGCTATAAATGCACATTTAAATCTTAACTCTGAGTTAGATAGTTTAGGAGCTATGACAGTGTAAACATACTTGAAAAGCGCGGATACAATAGCAAATGAAATAAAACAAAATAATTTATATCAATTGCATTTAATTTGGCAAAATAATTACAAAAACTGCTCAAAGTGACCTCCTTGTCTCTGCAGACATGCTGTTGCTCTTAGTGCAACGTGTTGCGTAGAGCGCTGGATCATTGCCTAGTCTTCTCGCAATTCGTTTGCTGCTTGAATTATTTTTTCTGCTAACTCCTCTCGTGTATTTGGCACATTTACATACACTCTTCGTTTGAGTGTGCCCCACAAAAAAAAAACCAAAGGTGTTAAATCCGGCGACCGCGGTGGCCAAGCAATTGTTCCTCCGCGTCCGATCCACGACGAATAGTGTGCATTTAAATGATTCCGCACAAGAAGCGCGAAGTGTGCCGGAGCACCATCCAATTGCAGAATCATTCTGGCCCTGTAGGCCAATGGTAACTCCAATAAAGCACCCAAAAAATTCGTTTCCAGGAAATTTAGGAATCTTGGGCTATTCATTGTCTCCGGTAAAATGATTGGTCCAATTAGAATGTCGTCTAATCATTCCGGCCCAAACGTTGACAGAAAATTTATGTTGAAAAGAACTTGGGCGGATCGCATGTGGATTTTCTTGAAGCCACAGGTGTTCGTTACGGTAGTTCGTATACCCTGATCGCGTGAAAGTAGCTTCGTCTGTCCACATAATTCTTTTTAAAAAGTTTGGATCATATCGCGTTTCTCTCAATATCCACGAACAAAATATTGCTCTTTCTTAGATAATCCGGTTCCAGTATTTCTTGCACCCTTCGAAAATGGTAAGGATGTAATCCTTCTTTTTTTTAAATTTTCCACACCGACCATTTTGATAGACTGAGACGATTAGCTATGCGTCTAATGCTCAGGCTAGGGTCTTGAGTAATCATTTGCAATATTTGATGTTCATCTTGGAGCGACAAAACACGAGTACGTTCGTTACCGAGCCTTCTTATTCCATTTTCCGCAAGTCTCAAATGAATTCTCACGAAAGTGCGAGCATTCGGCGTACGTCTGTTAGGAAATCTGCGTGCATACTCTACAACAGCTCTATTTGCACTCCCGTTACACAATCAATACACGAAATGGATGTCAGCGATATGCTGGCTTGAGTACTCGTTCATTGTAATAAACAAAAAGTAACAGTTCAACAACAAAACAAAAACGTAACAAAGTCTAAGAACAAACAATAATTATGTACAGTAAGTAGATTTACTTAAAACCAGGAATGTTATCACAACGCAGAGCGAGGGACGACTGCTCGACGGCACAAGCGCACACTGCACCCTTTTTACCTGGAGGCAGCCGTTATTCTGTCTCGCTCGCACTGTTGTGCACAGCGTTTTTTACCTGCTCACACAAAGGATGCTATTGTGCTTGCTTACGATTCCTTGAATTATTGAAGAATTTTATCTTACTCACTGGAATGGGTGTTTAGTTATCTAATATCGGGGTAGAGGCACTTTGAACAGTTACATTCAAATTATCATAGCTCCTAAACTATCTAACTCAGAGTTAAGATTTAAATGTGCATTTATAGCAAATATCCTGTATTATAATAAAAACAAGTAAAAAAATTGGTTAACACGATGGTTTTTTTTAAAGCTAAGAATCTGAAAAACAACATCAATTTGTTGTCTAATTTATTTTTCAAAAATGTTTTTTACTAATACTGAAAAATTAAAAAATAATATTTTGAATCTAGATTTATTGTCTACACTATTAACTAACATTTGAGACCAATTTTGTTTTTGAAAGTCTTCTACTTGGGTAGATATTGTTAAATTAATACAAGCATCTATGCTTCGCCAACAATTTTTTTTAAAGTGCTGCCATTTTTTTATTGATGGCGAAAAAAATCATTGATCCCTGATTTGTCGATAAAATTAATTGTATTTTAACCCCTTAAAGTATCGGACATCGGAAACCGGACACATTGTATAGTATAGTTGAACTGTTTTTATTTATTAGTTATGTTTATTAACCTGCCAACATATTATTCCCTTTTTCGTCGGGTTGACTGGTAGAGAATGCCATAGGGCATTAAGTACGCCCTTTGTAACCCCTAGTTGGTGTGTGGCAATAAAAGATAAATTAATAAATATAATCGTATCCATCCTGTATATCTTGTGTTAGTGTAATCAATCTTTGTAACCATCCAACTTGACGTAAAATATCCACATTAACGGACTACTTCGTTGGTCTACTAGTCGTGGTCTAATCATGTGCTCCTCGGTTCAAATCCCGGGTTGGGTTTTTCTTAAAGAAATTCTCAGTAGCGGCCCGGAGTCAGAAATTTTGCAGTGTTTTATTACTGTGCTTCGGAAAGTCAACGGGTACCAATGAAAATCGTTGGTCTCGCACCGGATCTCTTCGGTCGTGTCTGATTGCCGTCTCTTCGGATTATGAGAATGAGAGAATAGAGAGTGTGCTTGTGCGTACACCTTGTGCACTGTAAATCTGTCCTGCGTAGATGGCTAGTTGGTCGCCGTGACTGGATTTTGGTGTGGAGAACATTATTCAGATTTTATCCAGGAGTAATGTCAAATGTGTGTGAAGTCTGGTAGTGTGAACGTCCGTCTACCTACCACGCGCAGCATTTATAGCAAAGCCTTCCTTCCATGGAAGAGGTCTATTACCAACGATGGACTTTGATTGGCTGGTAAGTGTGAAGAGGATATTTTAAGGGAGATGTATGAACTTCTTTAAATATCGAACTTACCTGAACGCCTTGTGTCCAGCCAACTGACGAGGCTCCGGCGACCATTGAATAACGGTAATATCTGTACGGAAAGTGCCAACTTCAAATCCTATCGTAGTTTTAAGGGTGATATATCAACTTAATTAAATGTCAATCTCACCTGGACGAGGTGTATCTAGCCAATTGACGGGGCTCTAACGAACAATGAAAATAGTTAATACGTATACGAAAAATACCGAACTCAAATATAAAGGACTAGTCATGAAACCTGTCAATCGTGGTGAGAATGGGTATGTAGAAGATTTTGTATGCATTCTTGAAAAACCTTCATCCAGCCGTGGATTACAAAGTCCCTAAAAACTACAGGTGTATCAAACCTAATTGTATATTTTGTTAAGCTAAATAATATTAAATTATGAAATATACATCTTATAATTCACTTACATTTTATCTTAGACCAAAGAAAGATGGACAATTGGAACATCATCAAGTCACGTCGAAATCGTTGCTCAGCTTATGGTGAGAACGAACATATATGTATACATATGCAGATAAAATATTGGCCTTGGAAGGAAAAGGTGGTGGTGGTCAGCCCGTGAAACGGTTAACGCTTCATGATTAGGAGTATGGAGCATTTTATGTATGCCGGAACACTTCGGAACTTCGAAAGCGTGATTTAAGGGTCGATTCGTTTCGTGGCTGGCGCGACGCATTCATGTGCGTGTTCTTACAAAAAGTTGAGCATGGTTACGGCGATTACGTAGTGTTTTGTCTATCTTTCTTTGTTGGCCTGTACCTTTAATAAATTAAAAACAATTTTTCAGATATCGTGAATCTCGACCTCAAGTCAACTCTACGAGTTTTGTACAACTTGTTTACTAAATATAAGAATATGGCCTAATATTGCCAACGTTGTTTGGCTTTTAGCTAGCAACATTCGATGTTTGTGTTCGTAACTAACAATGAAATAAACTAAAATTATTTTAAGACTAAAAGTGCTAATAAACTTTTTTGAAGTATAATTTATTAACAAACAAAAAATATATGTGCGACGTGCCTTACCTATTTACATTTTTAGTAATATACTTATTTAACTAAACCGACTTTTATTTACTTCTACCCCCAATTTCAGAACCATGCCGTCAAATATAATATGTACAGTTAGGTTAAGGCTATGCGTCAATTTAATTATGAATTGCTTACACAATATTTATAATATATAAGTAAAAAGTAAAGTATATTGTTTTCTTTCCAAGCAGTTAGTTATTACCGGAATCAATAATAGATGGTCAAATAATATTCGTATCATATTGTCATCAATTCCTTGCGCTATTTATGAATTAAACATTGTGTGTGCTGTGCGAGATTTTTACGTTTTCAAGAGGCTTTTTGCGATTGCATAAACGAGTAAAGTGCTTAGCACACTGTCTGTTAAGCTGTACGTGCCGTCAAGGTCACGCACGATTCACGATGAAAAACTAGTTAGTACGCTTCATGTATGTCAATAACATACAATATGGACCGTGTGAAAGACCTATTATTCACACCTATACTACCGCAAACGTAACTTTACATTTTCGTGAAATGCGTGCCCTCCCCCCTTCCCTTCCGCGCAATTTCCCCGCGTCGCCATGCGAATACTCGCTGTTGCTGCCATTGTAATAAGAAGATCAGATTCATGTATTCTTTAAATGGTTTGATATTATTAATTATAGAATTTATGTTTATGGTTAATTTACTTATATACACAGCGTAGATGGAAATTAAAAAAGTTATATAGTTTTTTAAAGTGATGCGGACAGTTGAAAAACTGGAAGTGGGCAAGATTTTGATTTTTAAACATAATAATGTATAAATAATAGTAACGACTGAAGAATTTTTTGAATTTGTTTTTTCTTTTATGTAAATCTTTTTGTCTGTATTAAAATAGTCTCCTACGTGGTAGAGCCATGCTGCAGCTATATTATGGTTGTAGCACGAATGGGTCGGCTCGACCGGGGAAGTACCACGTTCTCACAGAAAACCAGCGTAAAATAGCAGCTTAACGCTGCTGTGTTCCGTATGGTGAGTGTAGAGAACCGGAGACCCTTTTTACTGGCAAAGAGGTATTCCATCTTAGTCCTTACGGGTGACAACGCAGCTGCATCTTGTGTCTTTATTGAGGATAGATGTAGATGTCTATGGGTCACAGTAACCACTTACCATCAGGTGGACTGTGTGCTCGTTTGTCACCCGATCCTATAAAAAAAAGTCTACAAATGCATGACTTATGAAGTCCCATTTGAAAGGTGGGATGGATTTATGCAAGGACAAACATTGTTGTCTTGAATTTACCATTTTTACGATAGCAGTATTTTTAAGTACGTAATAAACTAATAAATAATAGTCGTAGAGCTTACCGCTATTTGGACTGATATATTAGATAGACACCACTTGTTCTGCTAGCTTTCACAACTACGGTGAGATGGCGCCGCTGGTGCGGTGATGGTGTCACCATCACAGTGTAGTAGTGTAGTACACTACAGTGTAGGGTATCGGTATTGCGATGCGCTGCACTCCTTACGCTCCGGGGAAACTTGGTTGGTGGTGGACCCATGGACTATTTTTTATAAGCCGGGTTTATACATATGCGATCTTTTATATTATTGAGTATAGTCCTCATCTCTTCTTATAAGTTTTGATATATATTTTATAACGTAGTGAATTTTGTAGAATGATAATGATGAGAGCTATGTACGTGCTTTGATAGTAGTTATTTTATACACTAAAGTGATGATCGTAACGCATAAAACAACTTTATTTCGATTACAACAACGTGCAAATCTGAGGTCGAGCATGTTGGTCTTTGTGTCCGTAAATTGAAATTATGTCTAGAAAATGGGACTAAAGTTAAAGCCGTAGCTTGGGTGATGGGAATATTTTTAGGTGTCCGTATTAACAGGTGCGACTAACGTCTCGTTTCTTTATTTGAAAAACGTTCGACTCACTACGAACCGTTTTAAGAGTTCACAAAATGCATGGAAAACCTTTTATAAAATTTATTCAATCATTCATTACTGCCCATCTGAAGTCCATTGCTGAACATAAGGCTCTCCCATAGCTTGACTCATTGGCAGACGGGTTGACAACCACAGTTTTTTTTATTATTTTCTTCATTTTATAGGTTGTTTTTTTATATTATTTTAAGCCAGCGCTTATCTACAATCCCACCTGATAAATAAGTGGTGATGTAGCCTAAGATGGTGAAGCGCACTGATTTAACAAAAGCCTATTAGCTCTTGCCCTGAAGACACCCACATAGTAATCGGATGGAAAGAAATGCTGGCAACATATTCCACTCTTGTGCTGTACGCATCACGAACGATGTAGCAAACCGTTTGGTTCGAATGCGTGGTAAGCCAACAACGAAAGGGTGGAGACTGGCCGAATGTCTGGTTGTCTGATAGTGGTAGGGAGAGGGAGGTATAAAATTATGTAATTCCTGCGCACACTCCGAAATGCATCCTATAGAAAACCGAAAGGCTGGCTACTTTACGCCAGTGTTTGAGGCTGGTGAGATTGGTTTTAACCAAATTTGGGTCACCAATAAGCCTCTATGATATGTCCAAATATAAATGTCAATTTGAAGGCTCCGTGGCGCAGTGGCTTTGTTTTGAGTTATAACGCTGAGGGCCGCGGGTACCACACGCCTTTCCATTGAGTCCAAAGCTGCTAGGTGGCATTTTGCAGCACCAGCCTATAGGTAGTAATACTCCATGCACGACCGGACTTGCGCTTTATATAAAGGAAGCAGCTGTTCCGGCGTTGTTATTAGGAACGTTTCACTAGTACGGGGGTATTTTGTTTCAGATTTTCTCGGACCTCTCTTACGACACTGGGATAATACGGGATAGTGGATTACCTTAAGCAGCCACTATTTTATACATTTATGTGGGACGTATTACAAAAAAAGAAGGTGCAACTGTGTTACTTACCTAACCTAACGTGTCGTAAAAGGCGACTGATGGGGTATTGGGTTTGTGAATGGTTACGCGATGACCTAGCAACCCTTCACTTCTTTCACAGTTATGTAAATAGGTACTGGTTCAAAATCATAGCTATTAAAATTGTTTTATTCCAAGTATTCGTAAGTTGTAGAAGGAAAAGTTTGTAACAGACTGGTTTTAAATGCCATCCATGTAAAACGGATTGTTACCGTCTAGAAAATCTCTTTGTATGACACCGAGCATTCATAGGCAGTGATAGTGTGCGAGCGAAAGGCATATAGAAGCGACTTTTTTTAAATCACATTTTAAACAAACAGGAGACTAAAACATCTAAATATTTTTGTGTTTAGTGATTGTCCGACTCAAATGTTTCTTTTTTTTTTAGAAAGGAGTTACCTCAGGTATGGTCCTTTATAAAGTTGTTGGCAAAGATCTGATAGGACCTCATCAAACTTCAATTTGTGAAAGCATTTGCGACATTTACGACATATGAGCGAATAATTCTTTAGCACGCCAAACCGATTCGATTATATTATTTTTAATTAAAAGAACTCTGTCGATTTTTACCTTAAAAAAATTAAATTATTATCCTGCGCGTTGTAGCTTGTAGAATTACACACATGCAAGCGCTGCTAGGTTAAGGCGAAGCATAAGGAAGCGAATGAAACAAACAAATTAAACAGAGTAATTTATTTTAAAAATACACATTACAGATTGAATCTATTATTACCAGTACATTAAATACACAATAATCAGAAAGTACGCTAGTTCATGGTAGAAGTGTTGTTTGTAGTCCACGGTCAACGGTAACATTGCATACTGAATTTAAAAAAAAATAACAATAAAGAAGATAAATTAAGTCTTTACATGCAATTCCAGTTGTCCGCTAGCTATTATAGTGCTTCTATTAAATTAGCGATTATAACAAAAAAAATAAAAATACATTTAATTTTTTTTTGTTTTTATATAATAATTTACGCAAAAAGCTTCGACCAAATACTATGTTATCGCTTAATATAATAAATAAAATTGGTAGATGTGCATTTGCTGTTTTAATATATACGAAATTTCGTATTAATTTTTCGTCAATTACGAAGTACAAAACATTCTTCCACTGATCATATTCTAAGCTGCTTAGTCCGAGTATAAAAAGGTCTAATTTCATTAATTTCGAAAGACTTAAACCTAACCTAAACATGCCCAGTTTTTGGCCTTATTTATTAGAACGTTACACATTATGTAAAAAAATTAAATCTCTAAAAATCCTTAAAAATCAATATAAATAAGACCATTACTATAAAATACAATAAAATATCGTTTTGTTATTGCACACACCTTTCTACTTGCCAAGTGATTTCCCGTAATGAATAACAAGGAATATAAAATTGTAAAATGTCACGCGTATGACAATATATCTATTTATGTACAAAAGAACGTACATAGATAAATTCATTATATGAAAAAGCTGCGGGTCCTCTGCTATTTATAAATAAATAAACTATCGATTATCGTATAACACGGAACTAAAAATACAAATCTAGCATTCATAATGTCGTATCGCTTAAATCGTAAAACATGCACATACTGTTATTAACTAATTCTTATTGTTATAATTGATTATGTCTTTATAATACAGTAGGTAGCTGCCGGAAAACTAATTCCATATAAATACTGATACAGCAAGCTCGATTCAAGTTGCAGTAAAATAATAAATATATAGTTATTGTAATAGAGTACATAACAAAATTTAAGACATCAATAATTTCTTCATTATTTTCTCTTGTTCCACTAAGCAGTTAGCACGTGATTGCAAGTTAGTGCGTGTATAATTGGTATTAAAATTAAATGTTGCGATATAGAAGCAGTTCTTTATTTAAATATATTGAATTCACATTGCTTTACTTAATAATTGACGACTGACGGATTTGTCTCCTTTACATTAATTTCGATTTTTATCGATTATATTGTTATGAACTAATTCAAAATTTTAAAATGCAGTAAAATAATTATATACATTAAAATTTTTATGGTGTATATGCAAGATACAAAGCCCCGAAAGGTGATGAGGAAATGTTATTACTTAAATAATGATTAATGATGTAAAATATCGAACATACAAAGTGGAGTGTAAAATAAATAAATCTTTCATTTGGTTCTAATTGGTTGGAGGAAAGGAAAAACAATGTATTTTGAATATTATGTTGGGAATTGTGTAGAAACTCAAAGAAAAAATATTAAATTTTGAATCAGTGTAATTCTTTAATTACATCCACTAATTCTACTGCCAAATATTTTAGCAATAAATGTACATAATTAAAAAATATAAAAAATAAATGTAATTAATTAAAAAAGTTATCTTTATACGTGAAAGAGAAAGGAAAAGCAATACCGTTGGTATGACGATATTGTTATTACATTTAGTCGATGAATAGCTTTGCAAATGTGCCATAATGGTTTGGTCGAGTTTCAACCCAGAAATATTTTTGATAAATTACTTTATAATACATAAATATTATGTAAACTTAATGAGAAAACAAAAAGAAAATACAAGTAAGATATGACATTTGATTAATTTATTAATTATGAAATTGTAAAGTTCTCTAAAGCCAAAAAAGCATATAATATGAGTTTTGTTTGTCACATTCAAGGTCGATAAAAATTATCCAAGAAAGAAATAAATTGCCTTCCAAACAAACGAAGTACGCGCGCAAAATTATATAAACATTAAAGCTTACGAAATAAATGCACTAATTAACTAAGTACGTGCATATTTGCTATTCGAATCGGCTCGTAGTCAAAACAAAGACAAAAATAAAAAAGTTTGCGCTAGTTAATCGCCAAGTTGCAGAATGATTTATACGTTATTTAGTATTCGATTTGTCACGAAGTAAATATCAGAATAATGTTCTATTAGTAAAACTAATATTTACTCTACTGAATAAAATTTATTAATTTTTGATATATTGTTGATTTATAACGCGGGTAGCTGAAAGTTGAGATTGGACATTGAGCTTCTGCGAAGTAAAACATACAAAATGACACTCGATATTACACGAAATAAATTTAGTCACAATTTATTAATACTTCCCACTACCGTCATTTAGCTAGTCTTACTTGAAATAAGCGCTACTTAACAATAAATAACTAATACAAAAATGGAATGTTTTTTTTTTAATTTTTATATCGCGAGTCGAGCTTTACTTACACGAAATAAAATATTATTCACGAATAATTAAATTCTTCTAAGGAAGATGCATGTGCCCAAAATAATATAACTATAATGATTTAAAGTGTGAAATGATATCAAGATCAATTTGTCACGTATGAGCAAAATTATTAGGTTTTATGTTTAATGTTAGACAGTTAAGTTTTTATTAGAAATTAAATACTAGTTAAATAATACCTACCCTTATAGCCTTTCCCATGGCTGTTTCCTTTGCTTGAATTACAAACAAAAAAAAAAAACAAAGGTTTAATGCTATCTACTGCTTCATTCGTCGTTTCCACATCTTGGCAACTGGACTTACGCGGGTACTACGCTAAGTTAAGTATTAATGTCTCTAGTATTTATCGTCTAACATTAAAGACGTTTATGACTAAATTCTAACAGTAAAAAAGTCCTATAGAAATACGCGACTAATGTTAATATTACACAGATTTAAAGTACCTAATTATATTAGTGTGTTACGTTTGTTTTTAATGTCCCAAAAAAAAAAAACAGTATTGAGGTATTTATAAAATATAAAAATACTTATAAAAATCAATTGCTGTCCTCTATTCTCGCAAAAACTCGAAAATGAAAAAGATAGAAAAAAAAAATTCAAAATTGGTCGAGTCAATTTTGATGAAACTTTTTGTGTTGGAGTGAGTCCCTGGATGGTTTGGACCCGGTAGGTGTATGGCTGTTGTCGACATCCAGAAATCACCCGTGCGAAACCGGATTGCTAGTAATAAATAGTATAAATATTTTGAGACAAATTAAAGAGAAAAGAGTTAAAAAAAATTTAGGGTCTAACTTTCAGTGTTATTGTGTTCGATGAGAGTAATGTTTGTTTCGGACTCATTTAATGAATCAGTTTTAATGATATAACGTAACACACTAGCATAAGCTTATTAGCTGACACAAAAGTTTGGCCTATATTCAGAGGTACACAGATAATATATATTTGAAAGACGCTTTTGGTTTGGATCTTGAACATTGTAAAATCCGTTTAAAAACATTTAAATAAACATATTGTCTCATTCTTGTAAGTTTATTGGCACTTGGTCATTAACTATAAATGTATCAACAACTATTTACGATTTGAAAACATTTAGTACAAAAAAATTAGTTTATTATTTGATTTATCAGTTCCAATCCAAAAGCGTTTGACTCGAACTGTCCGTATGGTTTCTTGACGACGGATTATGAAGCTATCGACACAATCTCATTATAGTTTAGTATTAATTTCTGCTCTACTCCGATACATAATCACTAAATACAGCGAATTAGTAATATCCTACAAAATCTATCATCTACAATTACGTTTACTTGGAAAAGACATAGAAAACACGATCACTATTTTAACGCAACGTCTTAATTACATATTAATCTAATAACAAAAACAGCAGGAAAAATATATTTTTTTAAATATACATGTATAAACTAAACAGAAGTAGTCATTAGAGTTTTAAAGAAGTCGTAAAAGCTGTACCCAAAGAAAAATTTTAAGCGCATACAAAACGAGTTAAAGCCGTGAGTTTAATACAGCAGGATCACAGGCCAAGGAAATTTCACATAATTTTATAAGTTAGGTATCCCGTAGACAAATAATATTTTATCTAAAAATTGAAACAGGTTACCTATGAGGAGAGAGAGAGAGAGAGAGAGAGCAGTGCCAACGCTCGGTATATTGGAGGAAAGGGAAAAGGAAAGGTCCATTATTGTTTTATTAAATCGTTAAATTTAAGGCCATTTTTATTTGAGGCAATCGAATATGAATTTCAATAAAAACAATAAATAACGTTTGCAAATAACTATGAACAACTATAAAGACAACTAGGCATTATAAGTACCGAGACATTTCTCTGCGCGTGTCTGGCGTTGGGCATTTAAAGGGTTCGCTACGTGGGTTTGCTGCGGGTGGATAGGTCTAACGAAGCAGAAGATTCCCGGCGAAGTATCAGTTTCAGTTTGTCGTCCTCCTCAAGGTCGTCCTCTACGGAAACTGCGCGGCTGATCTGCGTAATTCCCAGCGCGCGCGCCTTCCAAGCCTCTAGTCTCATGACCTGCGACGCATCACAATGTTACTATATGGGGAGTATATGAGTTCTTGGACACTATGATTATCAAAATATTTAACGCAACCAAATATATTTCTACAACAAATTCATTTAAGTTATTTGGCGTGGCCTTTCTTTCAATTCCCAACACTTGAATTAGTAAGGAATTTAATAGATCGAAAACTTATAATAACCATAAACCGACTCCATTTTTTTATAGATTTTAGTTGAAATTTATTCTTAGACTTTCGTTAAAGTATACTCTTAAGGTGAAAAAAATAATTGGTAAACAAATGTCGGTATTGTGTTAAGATACATACAAAATACCATCAAATTAATAACTTTCTTATTAGGAGTCGCTTCAAAATGACGAAACTGTTTATTTGATAATCGTAGTATCCACGGTTCATAAAATATCTCATATTGATTCCCAAAAATAGGGGAGTTGTGGTATAATGTATATCAAACGTTAATTTTTTTATATTTAATTTTTATAATCTTTTTGGTATATGGCAATCAATATTAGATAATTTTGAAATACATCAAAACATCACAGGCCTTCAGGGTGAATACAACATTATAATAAAACTTTATTTTAATTTTAATAACCTCTCAATAATTTATGAATGACTAGCATATTTATATTATAAACTTAACAATGCACTGACTATATGATCAGCTGGTCATCTAAAACAAAGATTTTATATAATTGTTAAATAATTTACTATTTTAAAATGTAGTTACCTTATGTAGTTCTAAGAGGCCTATGATGTGTTTTTACCATAAAAAGTACAACTCTTTAAAAAAAATCTACTTCAACACAGACATTGGTGCATTTAATTATCGGTCTACACTCTATATTTAGTAATGTAAAAATGCATTACATTACAAAACACAACTGACACTAGACACACATATAACAGGAATAAGGGGCCGAGCATAAATCATTATAAATAAAAATAATTGGACAAAATAACATAACAATCGACGTTGTAGCTTCAACTTATTACATAATAAATTTATATTCTCCATTGTGACGTGGATCTTTGGGAAGGGTCATGGGAGTTATGACTCATAAAAGAAACTATTTTTCTTTCGCCCTTCCTCAAATCTAATATTGAAATTAATGAATGAGTGATTGAAACTTTACTCTCTAACGCCCTCTATACTTCAATTCTAGATCCGCGCCTGAACACGTATTGTAAAAACTAACAATAATCATTATATTAAACAGCAGCTATGTGGAACACAAATTCATGAACTCGTACGTGTATATGCTATATAGTTTTAAACGTCAGATTTGTTCGTTAAAATATTTTTAAGTGTACTGTTAATTATATTTTTAAGCATGTGTATACGTGCATGCGTATTATTATGTTTTACTTGTATCAGTATAATTGCGACTCAGTTCATTTTACTATGTAATTGAGAAATCATTATACCTGTATTTAAATTCGAATCATTGATGATATCTAATGTATCGTATGATTTATTGCACAGCCCCGATGTTAGTAAAACAAAAGTTAAGAGCACAACATAAATAAAACATGCAAAAAAAAAAAAGAAACAAGAGCGGGTAGCGTGACCTTGACGAGTCAACAGTAAAGCTTAACCTCTCCGCTTAGCGTACGGGATGTCCAAAGTAGCATGCATTTTTTTCATAGCATTCATATCTATATTAAAATAAGAAGTACATTTTATATGAACGAATTTAAAGAGATTTAGAATTAGGGTGAATTTAATATGCAGTCTGACCCATTTAGCTATCTTGGTTGCCATACTTCTACAGCGGATCTCCTTCTATCGGATCAGATTCTACCACGCAATGAGTCGAGCATAGCACTCTCCATAGCCCGTTGAGCAACCTAGAGCTTCCTGATACTCGGCAGTGAAGGACCACGTCTCACATCCATAAGTCATCGCTGGCAATACGCACTGTTCTCAAGTTTTACCCAACGGATCGGTAAGTTGAAATGCAATGGGCCGGCCATATAGCTCGAAGAAAACTGATAACCGATGAGGAAGAAAAGTTCTCGTTTGGCAGCCTCGTACCAGGTAGACGTAGTGTAGGGTGGAGGGACGACCAGATAAAGCATACAGGAAGACAATGGATGCAGGTGGCTCAGGATCGTGCTTTGTGGCATTCCTCGGGGGAGTAATGATGATGATAATGATGACAATAAAGAAATATCAAACAAAACATTACTTGTAATAAATAATACTTTGGTATAAGGGGACGCCCAAAGTGATTTTTATATTTTTAAATGCTAAATGGTCATCAAAATACACAAAAACCTCTTTAATATTTTTCCAACAAGAAACAAGTATTGAATAAGATATTATCATCACAACTTCTACACAATTTTATAATTCACTTAAATAGTGTTAATGCTAGTAAAGTTATTAACACTATTTAAGTTAGGAGGATATCCGAGGGGCGTTTAGTCCGTACAAAGTACACACTTGTTCCTCTGTTTTCTCCATCGAACAAAGATTTTTAACGATACAAACTATTTCTACTGATGTTATGTTCCTATGTTTGTATATTTTTAAAACTATAGGAACCTTATAAAATGACAAAATGCTGAGTTATATCGCCGATATGTGACTTCCAGCAAGAAATCTAGCGACATAATGTAGAGGGAAGTTCCGTTTTGGAGGTGGAGACAGGAAAATACTGAAATAGGATTTCGTCAATTTTTCATAAGTACAATAATTGTTCTGCAATAGTTCCTCTCGGTTGCCTAATTCGGCCGTTAGGGTACACGGCGCGACATCAATAGATTTTTAAAAATTCCATTCTTCAAATCTCTTTGACCCCGAAATCCGGTAGATATCCTCTTAACCACTCCCAAACAAAATTGTCAACTAGTTAAAATTGTAATGCTAGAAGAGGTTTACGAGTTTACGACAGTAATCGAATAGTGGACTTCATCGACATTTTTATGCAGTTCGTACCGTCAACCATAAGGCTAGTATGTACTACACGTGGATAAGCAATAAAATAAAAGAAAAGATTTCATACGCTAAATTTTACGAAAGCTTTCGGATTCTTTCAGGCGGCGAGTCTCCTTCAACATGGAAAAACAAACTAAATGAAATTTCTAAACGTATGCAACTGTCAAGAGTAATCAATCCAATCAATTAACATTTTCGTAAAATAAATAAACTTTAATCATCAAAACGATTGAATATTCAAGGTATTTTTATTACGGAAATTTTATTTAAATTCATTATTATAATTTTTTTATTATTGTTTTCGATGAAATTGAATAGTTAAAAAGGCAACAGATTGGTTCACTCTTGACATCAAATGTTTGTATGAAAACAGAAGACATTTGACTATATGCTATCCATCAATATCACACATTCAATAAAAATACTATTGAATAAAAATACTTGACTGAGCGTGCTGAAACCAATATGATATTTAGTTATTCTAGTTAGTTCTAATTTATTATTTGTCTTAATATGACTTTAACTGCCATGACAAATTTTGACATTGTACAAATGACCGAAGTCCAGACAAAACAAACAAATTTTTTTTATTGTGTCTATGATTATAACTCGGGTAAGGCGTTTATTGGCCAAATACTCAAATGCTTCTCAGTTCTTCGTTTTCATTAAGTCTTGTGGTGTCATAGTCACTTTGATTTAAAGTGATAGAGACAGCACGTATTCGGTCATAAGAGTACTCTATTTGACGAATTTTTGAATAATGATTCAACACGCCGAGTCTATAAAGTAAAAGGTTCTAATCGACATCCAGATATGCATTATAGGGTATGCTTTTATCGTGTCTTTGGACATACATATGTTGGCCTGTTGCGAACGCTCCAACTTTAGATATCTCCTGGTTCTAAAAACAAGCGAACAGAAAAAAAGGGTTATTGAAAAATGTTTGAACTTACCCGAGCCATTTCCAGGGCTCGGTGTCCGGTGTGGTGATCGGTGTGGGGAACTGTGCGGTGCCAAACAGAATGCATCGAATCAACCAGTGGGTAGTTTCATAAAGTGCTACATAATAGGCTGATGATAGCTATGGAGTGGTCGAACGATTCTGATAATATCCAAGGGGTTCGTTCTAAATAATTTTTTGATTTCATAAGACACGTTCTTAACATAAAATGTTAATTTTAAATAGAAAGCATGACAGTATAGCAAATTGAAAAGAATTTTAACCGTTTATTACGAAAACATTTAAGATTTAAAAAAGGCCTCTATGATCTTCTTGCAGAAAGTACTTTTTATAGTGTCAAACAATTTCTAGATTGTAAATTTAACAAATGAACCACTATGATTTCACTATTCATAGGCATTTTTATTCTATTTAATAATAATTAATAATTATTTGACATTTTATCCTATTTAATAATAAATAACAATTATCTGACATTTTTATGAAAATGAATAAATTAATGAAAAAAATTATCTAATGAGTAATTATATAAATATTTTAATTTCAATGTATCTTTTAAAAATTTGATATTAACAATTTAATAATGAGTAACTGAATTAGCCATAGAGTTAAATTTGATATTTGTATGCTTTTATGTAAGCGGTGAAACATATTTGGCCTAAAATGTATGTAATTAACACCTGTATTTACCATGTTTGATGCAAATAGAAGTTTTGAGTCTTTGAAAAATGTGCCAACTAAAATGTTAAGTATAAAATTTGACAGAGAAACCAGAGACTATCAATAAATAACATTTTGTTAGGATTTTGTTATTGTCTTGTTAGTACGTTAGTATTTGTATCATACATAAGTAACAAAAATAATTCCATAATAGGTCTGTAAATGAGAATATTCATTATAAACATCTAGATTTTAGATTGTGTACCTAATTTACGTTACGGTAAATTGGTTTTTCTAGTCTTTGTTTTTATACAGAATTATAATTCAGTGACTGATGGTGCTAAGTTTATTCATGTAACAAATACACATATAACAAAACTAAATGCGATTAAACTGAACAAACTCAAAAGCTGAAAGTGAAACTGAAAGGGAGATTAAAATTTGATTTATTAGAAAATTTACGACTCGTCATTATAATCAATACATAAAAATATCTTACGCTTGGTAAGTCTATTTAAAACCAGTTCGTTATGTATACTTAATAATTCCCTTAGATAAACTCTAGATATTTTTTCTTTTATCCTATTAAATTTATTGTTAAAGACAATTCAGCCAAAGCGTGTTAAATAATAAAGCGTTATTGCCCAAAACTTACACAGTGCTGTTAACTCACGGTGACCGTCCATTGATTGAAACATAAATGGGTTAATTATTGAAGGAAACGTTATTTACAGAACACCAAAAAGTATAAATGTCACTTTTGGAAGAAAATAAAATGACAGCTGTCAAAAATTACACGTTAAATAGTGACAAAAAGCATTTTACACAGAAGGTTGAGATTCGGTTGCTGCATTTATATATACTTCAGGTAATTTTCTTCTACATATTTATATAGAAAGATGTCTATACATTCTAGTTGACGTCCATACTTTTGAGATGGTTGGTTCTATGACAGCTGTCAGATTTATCTTTGACAGTTAAGGCAATAGAAATGCGAGTTTCGGAAAGAGAATTGTGATTTAAAACTGTAGTGAAGTTTAATGAAGTATGAAATACCTCGGCTTTCAGTTCCGCGATCTGTTCCTGCATCTCGCGAACCCTGTCCGAGTCGTCCATGTTATTACATCGTAGTTCGCCCTCGGTTGCCATCACTTCATTCTGAAAAAAATAATTATATAATATCTTCATCTTAGTACTTCTCACAAAATACCAGCGTAAAGCAGCAGCTCAAAGCTGCTGTGTTTCGTATGGTGAGTGTAGAGAACTGGAGACCCTTTTTACTGGCAACGAGGCATTCCATCTGTCCCCAGGGTGACAATGCATCTGTATTTTCACTTTTAATCTAAAATAAATGAAGATGTCTATAGGCCACAACATGCACTTACCATCAGGTAGATTGTGCACTCGTTGGCTGCACTACTTCTTAAAAAAAGAACGATACAATATATTGGTATCGGATTGAAATTAAACTCGGAGAAAACATAAAACATGACCACTGGCAACAAAGATCCTGTAACAGTGGAACAGACTCAAATCTCCTATGGTGACGAATACATATATCTCGGTTAACTGATGTCTCCAGAAGATAATTTTAATAAAGAAGTCGAAAGAAGAAGTGCGAACAGCTGGAAAAAAATACTGGAGCCTAAAAGAAATATTGAAAGACAAGAATCTAAACATTTCAACAAAAAGCAAACTATTTAACACATGCATCCTGTCTGTATTGGCATACGGGAGTGAAATATGGGCTTTAACAAGAAACATATCAAACAAACTCTCTATATACCAACATGCCATGGAAAGGAGTATGGTAGGGATCAAAAGAATGGACAGAATAAGAAATAGCAGCATCAGAAACAAAACTAAGGTCCAGGATAAAACTCTAAAAATAAGAAGACAAAAATGGAAATGGACAGGCCACGGGATCAGAGGAAAAGACAAATGGAGCAAAATAATAACACAATGGTACCCAAGGGATGAAAAAAGAAGGAGCGGTAGACCACAGAGAAGGTGGGATGACGATATTAGACAAGTCGCAGGAATTACATGGGGTAGAGTGGCCATAGGAAGGCCAGAATGGAGAAGATCGGAGGAGGCCTTTGCCACCTGGTAAACGGACACACAAAAATGGAACAAAATAAAAATATATGAATAACAAAGAAATACTATTTATTGTCCGACTAAAGGCTTATTATTATTATTATACAATATATTGGTGATTCGTTAACTGTACCTAGAATGCGATTCTTAGTGTTAGTCTGTTAAATATATATTTCGAAAATTTTTTCGAAAATCGAAATATTACGATTTATCGAATAATTACGAATGGCGTCCAGACTTCGGAAGCTATTATGTGGAAATTATTTATTTAATATTCTTTATTGCACACCATACAAAAATTACAGAAATTATATATAAAAAAGAAGCATGCAATGGGTGGTCTTGTTGCTGACAGCAATTTCTTCCAAACATTCAATTATTTCTCTTGTCTTAAATTATTTCTTTTGTTTTGGAAGTCGGTTACAACTTTTATTAAAAGTTTAATTGTTTCATTCTCTTGCGTGGTTTAAGGTATGTCACAAGTTAAAGGTTTATAGGTATTTATATTTAAGGTAATTACTACAGTGTCATAGGTACATAAAATCTTCATTCCCTATTTTTCCACTCTTAGCAGTACTTTTTTTAAAGAGTCCTTTAAATCAGAACAAAGATTTGCAAATACTAGAACATACTTAAAAAAAAAACATGCGCATCGAATATAGAACCTATTTGTATTAGGAACTAGGAGCCAGAAGACTCACCTTTAACTTATATTCAGATACTTCTGTTTCAAGTTCTGCTATTCTTTGAGCGTCCTCCATGTTGCGTATATTGGCCTGCATGGAGTCATATTTAGCCTGAAAAAAAAAGTTATTACATATTATTATGTTACATTTATTTATGTTTGTTTAAATTTAATGTTACAAAATGGGATGTGCCTCACACCAATTATGAGATTTCTTTAGTAAATGTCAATAATGTTACTTTTTTTTAAATGATTATCAATGGACATCAAGGGAATCTAATCATCAAATCATCGTAAAATATATATAGTACACTCGAAATGAAGCCGATCAACGACATCTCGTACATCAAACCTATCGAGCTATTTAGACTATATAAGTAGCGACACGAAAGTCTAGCGGTGACTGTTATTGCGCACAAGTCGCGCTGATTGGCGCGTGCGTATCGTTCGCACGCGCTGATTGGCTCTCCAGTCGCATTCGTGGAGTTCAATTCGTGCGCGTCCCCTCCACGTTTCGTCAGCGCTAGACTTACGTGCCGCGACTTGTAAAAACCTTCCTAAGGCAATCGGGAAAAAGGACATATTATGTCATCATAAAGTAAGTTGTAACAAAATTTGAATATGGCTTGTATACCTAAAATGAAGAAAATAGTGGATAGTATTTTTAAACCGACCTTGCTTTCCAAATCGGCGTATTTATGTTGGAACTCCCTTTGCCGGACCTGTAGGACCCTCTCCCTTTGCAAGGCGGCATCGAGGTTTTCCCTCAACTGCCTGGTTTCCTCGTCTTGCCTGCGCAGCTGGTTGGTAGATACCTGCACTTGTGCCTCTAGTTCCATCACCTGCAATTGAATATTACTCTATATTGTGTGAGCCCTGGTTAATACTACGTGTAACTCATTTAGCCATTTACTAGACTTGTTAACTAACTTAGTAATTAGCATAAGTCGCCTCAATTTTGTAATTTTTTACGAAAAATATTTATAGGTTAAAGAGGTATGTGTACAAAACATCTTGGGATGGTGTCCTGTAGTGGCGAATTGAGGTAATCCGACTATTCCATATCATCCCGTAGGTGTCGTTAGAGGCGACAGAGGGAAATTAAACAGGAGATGGGCAGCGGTATCTTCTTGATAACAACTTAAAATAATAAAATCCCTAAAAAAGGCATAAATTGCCTCATGGGAGGGATGTACCATATGGGATAGTTGATGTTGTTACACCGCAACTCCTATAACGTTTACATACATAAATAGGGCATTACATCCATTTTCAAAAAGGTATAATTTTTATATATATTTTTTAAAACCGAATAGTGACATAAAAATTACCTTTAATCTATCGTTTTAAATTTTCGCGTGAAAACACTAGCCGCCATACTGTTCAACTCGTGACGTCACTGTCGTAGAATTTTGACAATTTTGCAAAGGAATAAGATACTTTTGAATGTTTAATAATGAGTTATCATATATATCATTGTTGTGTTGTGCCTGATTAGAAAAATACGAGCATAACAACGCCGGGGAAATTATGGATTAAAGGGCCAACTGATTTAAATATGAGAAATACTTGGTTAAAACTGGCAAGAAGAGACCCAAAGGCATTGTCTACAAAATCTAAACTATACTTCTGTGAAGATCACTTTGATGTAAGTATGACTTATATTTAACTAACGATTAAACACAACAGAACATCATGACATGATAGGTACCTATTGCAAGTCAAATTTTGTAATAGATTAGGTCAATAGCTTGTCTGTCCCGCCATTTGTGGGCCATTTTGATAGTCCAAATTTCAAGTACAGTGCAGTGTTTTACTTAATTCCTGTTTTCTTCTATTATATGGGAATAAAGACATGGGTTGTACTCAGACCAAATAAAAAAGTGACTTTTTATTTCGTCTGAGGATTTCTACAAAAAAATATAACAAAAAGTTTTTGTCACCTAAGCTTATATTATAATATCTATAACATTAGTGCTAAAAGCGAAGTAATAAACTCGCTTTTACGAATCCGTCTTCCATGATACCTTTTCAATAAAATTCGGAATAAAAGTCAACAATCGTAATGATAACTTGAAAAATTTCGAAATTAGCTAGTTAGTACACAGCACATAACCTAGTTCTTTGACCTAGTGACGTCACGACGCTATCTAATATGGCGGACATCGTTTTGCAGATTTGAGGCAAAGGTAAAAAAATATTCTTTAAATTGTAATATAAAAATTATAATGCATTTTTATAAATAGATATCAATATTTCTCGTTTACTTTTTACAAAATCTATCATAAATATATTGATGATAAATATATTCTTTGATTTCTTTTACAGGGTTAAAATACCATATTGTACAAGAGGAAACATTCAAACCCGGAACAATTAATTGTAGGCCATAAAAATACTTGTTCCGGCGGGATTCGAACCCACGGCCTCAGTGTTGCCACCCAATGTCACGGAGCCGTCAAAACTGTTAAAAAGTTGAAGTTGAAAACGTGGCTAAGTGTGCTTATGTAATTACATCAAATATAAATGTTAAAAATATGTTCACCGAACTGTTAACATAACGAGTTAAAATAATATGTATGTAACTAGCCTTCAGCCTCAATTCCTTGAGTTCGGTGAGGGCTTCAACCTCTCGGATCCTGGTCGACATCAGCTCTTCGTCCAATTTCTGCACGTCACCTGACCGGCCTTCCCAAGCCCGCAGCAGTTTTTTAGGTGTTGCCATTATATCAGACACCACATTGGACTGCACTGGGGCCGGTGGCACCTCTTGTCTATGCTCCTATAAAAAATAAGGCCGCTAAAGTGTACTGCTAACTTACTCACTTCTTTCCACAGATAACGTGATGAACCATTACTGAATGACTGCTAATAATCTTCCGCTCACAAGATGTCGCTAGTTGGGACTGAGGTGAAGTTATTTGTTATAAGTTTTTTGGTAAAGCCATGCTGCAGCTATACTAACAGTATAGTCATAGCACGAATGGGTCGGCTCGACCGGGGAAGGACCACACTCTCACAGAATACCAGCGTAAAATAGCAGCTTAAAGGTGCTGCGTTTCGTATGGTGGGTGTAGAGAACCGGAGACCCCTCTTACTGGAAAAGAAGCATTCCATCTTAGTCCTCACGGGTGACAACGCTTCTGCATATTGATTCTTTATTGAGGATAGATGTAGATGTCTATGAGCCACAGCAACCACTTACCATCAGGTGAACTGTGTGCTCGTTTGTCACACTATCCTATAAAAAAAAACCACAATGTAATTATAATTGAAAATTTGCTTCATAAATAAAAGATAGTCGATTTCCAGAGTATGAAAATACGAAAAACAATGCTACATTAGTTTGCTCTTTGATTTTTTGCACATGTTTTAACTCACTTTTTAATTTTCTATTTTTGGGAGTATCCGTAATTTGGTCATTTATAATCTAATTAATATAAAATATAACTAATTTTACACAAGGAAACAAAAGCCGTTTCATTTTCCTAACAAACCAACTTTCTCCGTCATTAAATCTGTCAAATAATTCCTCTGATTTTTAAGTGGCGCCGCAGCGGTGGCAAAAAAAAGTCGTTGATGCCCTCATAAGATGATCTTTGAGGGCATCCATGAATATACGGTCTCTGTTATTCTTTTAGAAGTTGAGTTGCCAGATACTAATTTAATTTTTAATTGATAACTCTTAAAATTGCCCCGTTCAGGTTTTAAGAGCTATAATATATAAGGGTATGCGGCATCAGTGACCTTCTTTGTTTGAAGTTGCCAACAGGAGTCCATGGGCTAACCAGCCACTTACTAGTCGGCTTGTTCGCAACTGTCACTATTATTTTATTTATCATAATTTTATAAAGTTTTTGTCTGAAAAATAATGTGATCAAAATAAGATGATTTCAAAATTTTATAAAATTTAAGCTTTTTTTTAATCATCAAAAAGATAGGAAAAAATGTTGATAAAAGTTGACCAGTTATATAGTACAAACTGATAAATAAATTGATATATAAATACATATTTTTTAATACAAAAGAACCTCAAAGCATTGTAGACTCCATATAATAATTAAAACTGCGTACACCTTGTATTTTTGATATATTAAGTCACATATACCGTATAGATTATCATGTATATGTAAATCTTTCTATTGTGTATTAACAGCATTTATAGGTACTATATTTGACATGATAAGACTGACAAAATATACCAAAAATCGAAAAGAGGCGCGTGCAGATTGAAATTAGACGATCCTTACATGCTATGAATATGTAAGCAGAAAGCTAAACAAAGAGTTAAAAAAATATATTATAGGGCAAGGTTAACGTTAACAGAAATCTACAGCATAGGTTAAATACAATATAAGTTACCCAATGGCTTGTCTTACCTGTAGATGCCTTTGCCAGGCTTCGGAGAGCTCTGTAACGCGTTGGCTCAATTCCTTCAGAGAGAGGTTCGCTTCAGCTTCCCGTAACTTTACCGCAATCAGTTCATCCTGGTAACATAGAAGTAGGACAAAAAAGCTTTATATGCATAATCTATTACATAAAAATCGTAAATCAAATCACTGTCTTGTCAACATTGATATAGTGTAGACAATTTTATTAACATAAAAAAGGAAAACATCCTCGATTCGCCTGCATATTTTGTTTGTTGTGGTGCTTTGTGGCAGTTCTTTGAGGGTGGCCTTTGTTCGGCAGAGGACTCATAATGGACTGTAAGGATGATGATGTATATCGGGCATAACTTATTTGTTTAGAAACGAATTTTATTGATCCTTCCTTCCTTAAATAAGTTGTACTTCAGGTGTGGTCCCATATAAATTTGAAGATGAAAATTCAACGCAAAAGGCGTAAAAAAAGGGATAGTTTTTTTTAAATGTAACTATAACTACTTAGATGACGTTTTAGTTGTTATATTAAATTTGTGATGTGTTGATGTTTCTTGTAATGTGTCCACGTAAGAAGGTAAAATAATTAAGATATAAAAAACCGACTCCAGAAGCTGCTACGTTATTTTTACCTTTGCTATTTCTAAAGCTAAACTTATGTGAACAGTCACCTTATTTCGTTCCGAAGGGTGTCGTAAGAGGCGGCCACGGGAAACGCCGTAAAGATCTTCTAGTTTAACCATCTTTTTTGGGCTGACTTCATTCATCACTAATAAAAAACTAGATACACAATCAGTGACAAAAAATGTCTTTACCGAATGAGCGCCCACTAGAACATTTGGGTGCGCTATTAATTTGTACGTAGCTTTGTGAATACAACTTTAGGCAATGCATTTAAAGTTGAATTTACATTAATGTATATTTATTTCAACTAGAATTACGACAAAACAATTGGCGACAGTTTTTATAGAACTTTAGCATGGGATTGTGTATGTAGTTTTTTATTAATGGTCAATGGCTAACTTAAAATGTCTAGACATTTCACGCCCAGGTAATATCGCATTATAACGCCTAACGAGATGGTTTTACCGTCATTTTACCAGCTTTCTTTCTACAACATCCACGGATTTTCTTACGTCGCCTAACCGAGTTCAAAAACTTGTATTTTTTCAACTTTAGTAAGTAAAATTTGTATAAAAAGGGTGATTAAAATATAACCGACGTATAGATGATTTCAAACGCTGGTAATGAAATGTTCGCTACCAAGGTTTCTTAAACTAGCGACCTGCCGCGTCTTCGCCTGGGTAGGATCTATTAGGGAAACAGAGACAAGGGTCTGCTGCAGCGCTCATAATTCCGTTACAGCAGCAAGAGAGGCTCAAATCCAGCAGTGGACTTTTTGGTGCCTGATGGAGAAAATCAACAATGCACCTTACCTGCAGATGGGCTACGTTATTGTCGACGCGCTGTCTGCGGAGACTCTTGTTCTCATTCTCCAACTCCGCGATACGAGCGGTGAGTTCCCTCTCTGCCGCTTCTCTTTCAGCGGCGTGGAGTCTCGCTCGCACCAATTCACGTTGCAAGCAACGCGCCAGCTCTTCTCCCTTTGCGCTGTTGCCCTCAGTGCCCTCTAGCGATGACTGGCGTGAATTGTTCTGCGGGCATAACATCATATTATCGTTCATAAATCTGTTTCAACCTTTTGTAGTAACTTTAGACTGTAAATTAAATTTATTGTAGGTGCAAAACTATCTCCTTAAGTTAAGATCTGTTTTACTATAAACGAAATGCGTATAAAAACTGATTTTTTTTTCAATTTTTAACATACTCATTCGGCTACTTAAGATAACATAATTTAAATAAATTACGTTGTTGAACCAGAATTTTGTTTTGTAATAAAAAAAATTGTAGAATAATGGTGACAACACAGTAAACCTGATGGTAGGTGGGTGCTGTAGCCTATAGACATTTGCATTTATCCCCGATTAAAAATCAAAATGAACATACGTTATCACCCCTGAGGACTAAGATCAAGAAGAGAGCCTACTCCTTTTTAAAAGACCGGCAACGCATCTGCAATTCCCCTGGTTGCCCTGGTATTGCAGTTGTCCTTGGGCGGCGACAGTCACTTACCATCAAGTGAGCCACAAGCTCGTTTGCTTCCTCTACTATAAAAAAAAAGATAGAATGCGTCGTTTCCAGTAAAAAAGGTACACACCATAAAAAACACAGCAGCACTGAATTGCTATTTTTTACCAGCGGTATTACGAGCGTAGTCCTTCTCCACTCAAGCCGACTCATCCATGCAACCACTATAATATAGCTACAACGTGGGTCTGCCACGTAAATGGGTTTTTCAAGAACTTTTTGCAATTTTTTTGACGTAGTAGAGCCATGCTGCAATTACATTAGTAGTATAGTTGGAGCACGAATGGGTCGACTCGACCGAGGAAGGACCACGCTCTCACAGAATACCAACGTAAAATGGCAGCTTCACACTGCCGTGTAGAGAGCCGGAGACCAGTTTTACTGGAAATGAGGCATTCCATCTTAGTCCTCACGGGTGACGACGCATTTGCATTTTCATTCTTTATTGAGGATAAATGTAGATGTCTATGGGTTACATCAACCACTTACCATTAGGTGGACTGTGTGCTCGTTTATCACCCTATCCCATAAAAAAATAGAACGGATGTATCATTATCGTCATCATTATAGCCTTTCATAAGTTCACTGCTGAACATAGGCCTCCCCCAAGGAATACCACAAAGCACGGTCCTGAGCCACCTGCATCCATCGACTTCCTGCATGTCTTACCAGGTCGTCACTCCATCTTGTAGGGGGTCGCCCTACACTTCACCTGCCGGTACGAGGTTGCCACTTGAAAACCTTTCTTCCCCATCGGTTATCGGTTCTTCGAGCTATATGGCCGGTCCATTGTCACTCAGCTTACTAATCCGTTGGGCTATGTCGGTTACTCTAGTTCTACTGCGGATGTCTTTATTTCTAAGTTTATCACGCAGAGACACCCCGAGCGTAGCCCTCTCTATAGCTCGCTGAGCAACCTTGAGCTTCCTTATCCGGCCAGCAGTGAAGAACCACGTCTCAGATCCGTAAGTCATCACTGGCAACACGCACTGGTTGTACAATTTCGTTTTAAGGTTTTGAGGAATGTCTGACGAGAAGATGTGTCGTAGTTTTCCGAACGCTGCCCATTCGAGTTGAATCAGTCTAACGGATGTATAGGAAAATTAAATTTATTTTTAATATATAAACAAGGCATGAGTAACAAAGTTTCAAATATACCTCGGCAATGGTCATCTCAAGGGATCGGATCTCGTCCTGCGCAACGGCCAGCCGCTGCTGTGCGTCAACGTTTGCCCGGCGAAGCGCCTGCACCTCCCGAGCCAGTGCAAAAGTCTCCTCCTCTCCCTCGGCTCGGTCAACTTGGCCCCTCACCAGCCTTTCCGCGAGAGCCGAACTCTCTTTCTCCAGAAGCTCCACACGCTGTTTCAGGAGGCGATTCTCTTGGCGAAGACACTGTGTGGTGTGTGATTTTTATAATTGTATTATTAATTAGATCAAGGAATAAGCGTTATTTTCTAATTTCATAACAAGTATATATTAATATAAAAACAAACTTAGGCATTTCTACATTTTTATTTCTTTTTACAAATAACATTAAGCAGGTCATTCACTTTATTTGCACTCCCAACACATTGTATTAATTAAAGAAAACAGATCAATGTCACTAACAAGAAATTTTCGATTGTAATGAACACTCTTCGGGAATTGTACAGCTAGACCTTATTTTCTTTTTTTTTATATGATAGGGTGACAAACGAGCACACAGTCCACCTAATGGTAAGTGGTTACTGTGACCCATAGACATCTACATCGACCCTCAATAAAGACTCAAGATGCAGGTGCGTTGTCACCCGTGAGGACTAAGATGGAATGCCTCTGCCAGTAAAAAGGGTCTCCGGTTCTCTACACTCACCATACGAAACACAGCAGCGTTAAGCTGCTATTTTACGCTGGTTTTCTGTGAGAGCGTGGTCCTTCCCCGGTCGAGCAGACCCATTCGTGCTACAAATATACTACTAATATAGCTGCAGCATGGCTCTATCACGTTAAAAAGGAGTTATTTACAAGGAGACAAAATTTTATTCAATGTGATTTAGGGCAACAACGTTTCTGCCTACCGATCGACCCTTACGAATGTGTGGGTGCGCAGTAAAATCTGTTAAAATAACGCATTACCACGCATTTTGAATTTAAAAGATAATAAGGATAGAATGTTTGTGATCTTTTTAATTAATTTTTTCTTCACAAATATGACCGATTATTGCAAAATGACCTTGTATATATTTTCATTGTATATATTTTTTCTATAAATTAACATAAATGATTACACGGTGGTACGTTAATTAGTGTGTAAATTGATAACTATTCTGAACCCTGATGTTACGTACACAAATAACAAAAAAGAATGCATGCTGTGTTAATAATTATATTATAATTATTTTTTATTACAACAAATCAATAGATTCTTTGCCAGAAGAGGAGCACTACGGTTTAGTACTTATTTAGAAAACATATGATATAAAAAACATGATAGATACTCGTATTTTGTAAAGTATATAATATTAAAATTACTAGGGAACTTTTTAGTAACTAGAACGATGCCTTTTATATCTTTAATTGAACCAATTAGGGGTTGGGTTGGGAGTTTATCTGAAGCACCCCCATGCGATTGTCCCACTAACTAAACGTGAAGTGGAACATACATTTAATTAAATTCTAACGTTTTTGATGTTGAATCCGTCAAAGTCATGTCAAAAATGATAAAAGAGTAAAATGATGCGCTAGGCCGGCCATTTTGTTGACAGTGACAGATAAACTTTACGTCATTCCGTTGCTTCAAAGTTTAACCACTCAAGCCGCGACATTAAGGCGCAGGTTGAGCAAAATGTCGCGCTAGTCGTTATTTGTGTTGTTTTTAGGAGCTATCTACTTTTTATTTAAAAGATATATCAACAAATAAAAAACACATTATATTTCTACATAATCTTGATTCCATAAAAGCTATATCCAATTTTTTTTTAAACGAATAAATATTAATATAATCTCCTTACAACGAAACCACATAAATGTGAAATTATTATTGATAACATGCATCTCCTCGTAAAGTAAGTATTATTTTATTTTGCGATTTACACCAATGGATAGGCAATTTATTAATGAACATTTCTATAGTAATTTTTTTTTGAAAAGACCAAAATTTGATTTTATTAAGAATTTATTTTAAAATCTGGGCATATTCACTGCTCACGGGCTTGTTGAAGTCAGTGAGCCCTGAGCTCTTCGACGCGAAGCCCGTGTCGTTAGAGCGTCGACCAGCACATACACTCACGTCATATTAGTCGATAATAATATTACTTATTAGGTTATTTATAGGTAGTATTATTTGTTTGTTTTGGGTATAATTTTTCGTATTAGTTATACATATATTTGTTGTGTTTTTTACTGCGCGATGAAGCTTTTTGCGTGTATTTTCTTTGAAGTAAATGCAAATAAAAAAATGAAGCACCATTAGCATGTAAGGTTCGAATCCATAATTAAAATTTCGACAAATATTATAATTTACACTATAAAAGGCTAATTCAATATTATCACCCAACCACAATATCTTATTAGGTATAGTACCGCCTCGTTGGTCTAGTGGTTGTAGTAGTGCGAGTGCTGATCATGAGGTCACGGTATCGAATCCCGGGTCTTGTCAAAAAGTCAGTTATGAGTTTTTGGCCCGTTTTTGTTTTTATTTATTGCTTGTTTTTTCTTCTTTTTCAAAAAAAAATAATTGAGTACATAAGATGTTCTATACGCCGAATGTCAGAGAGAAAAGCTAGTACATCTTTTGCTAAACTTTAAAATCTAAAACCAATTTTAAAACAGACGAATTGATCATAACTCCCTTAGCTATAAAATAAGTTATGATCTAATTAATGGTATTTATTCCAGTTTATGGCAGCTCTGAATTATATTACGTGGCTGAAATTAGGTACATCTTATTAGGTACGTCAAACCAAATAACAGCCGGGCGGCTGACATTATGCACTCCATACATTTCTTATATTATCTAATTACAGTCCCATTAATTTCCACTAAAAGAAAATAAATAAGTTGTAAATTCAAACAAAAATAACTGCATTACTATGTCTATAGTCATATTCATACAAATCAAAAAGCCTATATATGAGATAATGTAAAGTAAGCATAATTTTACCGGGATCATAACTTGTCAAATAATTAGGAAAATTATCGTTTTTCGTTGCGTACCTGTTTTGATTTTAACACTGTTAGGTTTAAAACTGCGAGGTAATATTTGAATAAATATAGTTTCCTCTAGGTACAAAGAATTTTTTAGATGAAAATATTTGTAGTTAAGACTACTAGAAATCTTATTTATGGAGTAAAAAGGCGAAAAGACTGCAATTAGGGGCATGACTGGTATTAGGGGCTTCTACCCTAATTCGGTAAAAAGTATCTAAGTAGGTATTAATATACCTACTTTTTACTATAAACTAAATTTTTTTTTAATCTAAATTTAACTAAAAAAAAACTAAAGTGACCATTTATTTTTTAACTCAAAACAGGACATGGGTTTATTTACACTCTAAAAACTATAACTTTACACAATTAGTGTTCAATATAAAATTATATTCGGTATAGACGGTAATTATTAAATGCAACATATTTTTTAAATTATTAATTACATTTGTCAGTGGATTAAATTTGCTTTAATAAAGTTGGTGATAATTTTAAATAAGAATAAAATTCTGCTTAAGTTTTTTTATTGTTACCTTTGTTATCAACATCGCCTTTAGAACTGGAACCGTAAGTGCTTCTTTCAGACGTCCACAATTTGTTCAAAATAAAAAAAATATTCTTTCTACTGGAGCATTTGTACCAGGGAGACATAAAATATATTCGATTAAAAAAAATTATGTTGAAGATTGTTGACTTTGAATACTTCCATCCAACGAGTTACGGGACAATTTTGTGTCCCGGAGCTTTGTTTGGGGACAATGGGACAGGTGACTGAGAAAAGGGACAGTCCCGTTCAAAACGGGATGTATGGTCACTTTAGCTATAAACCGGCGACGGCTCCGTGGCGCACTGGCTTAGCAATCAGTTGCTGCACTGGGGGCCGCGGGTTCGAATCCCGCACGGAACAAGTATTTGTATGGCCTACAAATAATTGTTCCGGGTCTGGATGTTTGTCCTTGTGCAATTTATGTTTGTAAACTGCCTCCACGACTCTCATTCTATATTACTCTCACTCTGCGAAACATCCTATTTATTTATTTATTCTTTATTGCACCAAATATTTGTACAAAAGGCGAGCTATCTATCTATTTACCTATAGTGAGTAGGTATCTTTTAAACACAATTTTCAATGCTTCATTTTTAATATATAATTAATTATAAAATTTCATAATTAGATAATATTATATGAGAATACATAACTCTAATATAATGCAACTAATATACCGAATAAAAAATTTGAGATACATTTATCGTTGTACGCTGTGTGTATTTCCATAAAATAGTTTATTGATGTTGAAAAAATACTACGTTCTTACAGTAGGTGGCGCCTTACATATTTCTTACGTGATATTATATTGTAGCGAGTCGGCGCGGCACACCAAATGCTCAAGGTCGTTCGCATGGAGTAGCCCCTTAACCACCACCAACTTAGTCAAACCAACGGTCAAGCCAAGGACAATATTTTTTTTAATGATTAGAGTCATTACTTATTTCTTATCCAAAAATAAAAAAATATCAACAATTAAAATATCGCATTATTTGTATTGAGCGCTAGAGAAACGACGATTGCAAGACGTTGCCCATAAATAAAATGTTTTGAAAAGTTATCAATTACCGTGTAGTGGCGGTGTATAGGGGACTAGACTTTGGGTTATTTTTAAATAACCGTGACTATCGTTCCAGTTACCAAAAATCATGGTGACTTTGTCACGTTGATAAAGTGGGATAACTACTTGGAACATCAGAACGACTTATAATAATAATAATAAATCTTTATTTCGGATAACAAATGAGATCCATAGCACAGATATTAGAAAATAATAGTACAGCTAGGTGGACGGAGAAAGTAAAATGACACGCACGCAAGCACACACACACACATACACCCACGCCCGCGCGCGCGCTCGCAGCCATGCATACACACATACACACACAGGTAAGTCAGCCATGCAGGACGTTAATAATTTGCCTTATTATAGGACAGTCATGTTTTTGTGCTATAATACCCAGGATACTGTTGGAGCTATTCCTTGTTCTGCTTAGTAGCGATGCGGCTTTTTTGCGCATTATCGCGTCAAACCCGTCAGTACGGGCCTCACAGAACATGCCTGAAGCGCTGCAGTAGCGGGGCAGCCCCAAAAGTACTCTAAATGCAATTGTTATATTGCATCTTTAATGCTTTATACGCCCTTTGTGTGTAGTTGACCCAAAGGGAGCACAAATAGAAAGAGTGGCAGTATGCCTTAAAAAAAATTATTTTAACGCCATTACTGCATCGTGCAATAACGTATCTTTATATGCATTTTAGATTTAGTATTCGGTTTTATTTCAGTAGTCGATTTTTTATTACTTTCCTTACCTAAGCTACGTGGCTATGTTATAAGTTGTATGTTATAAATTATTTACACCATCTTAATCAGTTTTTCTTTTTCTATCGAACTGCATTCTAAAAGTAACGAAATTCTCGTAAAAATGTTCTTTATTACTCAAAATTTTTGGGCTTTTTGTGCAGTTTTAATGTGAATTGTCGCTGTAAATCACAAATTATTCATGATCACTAATCGTCTAGGTTGTATAAATTAAGTATAATTAAAGATTTAGCATCTAAAGCCCATAATGTTTACAAATTATTCCTTACGACCGTACTAGATTTTAAATGAAAATCAATTTGTCCTTCACTACCTAATACATCTTTAGAGAAACTAGAATTATGCTTTACTACCTAGAAATATGAAGATTTATCTTATACGCCTTCTATCTTGAAACTAAATTGAACTTTACCACTAGTAACAACTGAAAACAGATAATCGAATAAATACAACCTAACCAAAATGATTAGTCTTTGTCTCTTCAATTTCCGAAAAGGACGAATCCAGACGACCGACGACCTAGACACGTGCGCTAGACAAAGAGAGCTATGTGGAAAGTTCTTTGATTATCTTCACCTGAATAATTGTCAACAACCAATCACACGCCAAGTGACTAAAAGTATGCAAGTTCATTCCTAAAAGCAATTATTCTTTGTCGTTCTCTACCGTGTCACCTGTGTTAAGTAAAAGATCCTTTTATTGTTATTATTCATTGATTTCACCCGGATATTATTTCCTTTTTACCTTGATACCTTTTTGGATAGCTGATTAAATGGCCATATTTTTTAAAATATTCTTACATCTCTAAAGTGTAAAAATAGATTTTTTTTATTAAAACCCATAATTTTTTACTGTGAATACTTTGTATGATTGTATTCGGTTGGTTGAAGCTTCAAGAAAATAAATAAACTTAAAAGAAAGCATACAAAAAGGTTTTATTTTTATTTAGAATTTAATACGAATTTATGGGTGTATATTGAAAAACCTTTAAAATCCTTTTATATCCAGACCTGTTCATTTTCGGTCATACTTATGTTGAGTCAAATTTGTAGCATTTTGACTCCCCTATTATGCCCTGTCAGGAAATTGTCGAGTTCCCAGTAACCCTGTATAATATGGTTTTTAAGGGGGAGTAAATTAATTAGATTTTTGTGTTTGATTAATAAACAGCGTTTCATAAATTCGTACCTATGTTTTATTGAGCTAAAACATACCTTATAATTATCGCTTACCTAATATTTACAAGTACTTCCATAATCAAATTAATAACTTAAGTACAATAACGTATAGGCGTCAATTTTGGCGCATTACTATTCAACCACTCTCGTCTATTATGTATTAGTATTTATAGAACATTTGGTTACGCTTGGCATAATGGGCATTGAGCGATACGCGCGCTCTATATCTTGCTTATTTGTACTCTAAGTTTTGAACACTCTTACCTATTGTTCTAAGGGGTCCCTTCTAAATAATACTCATTACATACTCTTTGGCGTGGTCTATAAATTTGACAAGTAAATAATCATTCGGGTATGGCGCAATTTAAGAGGTTAAATGAATGTGCTCCCTAACGTTTTCATCTGCCTCCTCCTGTTTTTCGACGACCGCACTAAGCTTCGCTAATTTCGCAAAGATCCTTTTTTATAAATGGTGGCAGTTATAAATTATGTTTATAAATTAAAGAAATTACAAAAATTAATATTTTGGTGTTTTATTGAGTGCAAGAGAGAGCGAAGCCAGCTCGTGACTTGGGGCACCCTGACTCGGACAGGTTAGATTACAAGGGGATGGCGCCATTTCCTTCGTCTTTTTATAAACTACTCTGAAGTAGAAGCCCCGCTAAGCTAAGGAGCTTCCCACGTCTGCGCCACGTTGAGTAGCGTGGGGCTCCCCTCCCCCAACTCTCTTCCCCCATAAATCAGTTTTATATTGTCCAAAACATTATGAAAACATAACCTCAAAATGAGATTTTTTAAAAATTTATAAAAAAAAAAACTAAGCACGTCCGGCAGGAGGGAAGTAGAGGGCAACTCTACAATACCCCCTCCTTCCCCTTACTTACTTTCAAACTTTCGCCCCAATTAGTGTGTAAGCTCGTATGTGCATAATATTTCTGCATTGTTTTAACGATCGTTGGTGTACTTAAATAAATAAATTAAATTAAGACTCATTTTTACAAATCTTACAGTATAAAATATATTCAAAGTCTGAGCACAGAAACCTCACCCTCAGTACGGCTATGTCGCCCTGCTCCTTCGTCTTGATCACCGTGTACTCCTTCTCCAATTTTTTCATTTTCTTCGGGTTCACTTTGATCGAGTAAGCGAGGTTCATAAACGCGTCCTGATCGGCCTCCGCTTTCGCCGGCAACTCTTTCTGAATGTACTGCAATTTAATTCCATTAATAATTATCAGCGTGATAAACTGATAATAGGTAGGCCGCTTACAGATAAACACTAATTTAGATATTACACAAATTAACAGGTTTATTTGAATCGAGGATTGTAAACAAACGTCACTTGATAAAATGTCAGCTGTCAGTATTTTGACATCAAAATCAAAGAATATATAATCACTACATATAATATCGTAGAACACAATTACTCTCGACCGAGAGTATATAATTAATTTGGATCTCACAATAGAGCGTTGAAATCCACAAAGTCTTCTGATAACTTTTAATTCTGTTGAAACTCTTTTGTTTTTCTTTATTTTGGCCAAAAACAGTTATTTAAGTATAACAGTTACAGAATACAGTGAGATACAGGTTTACAGACCTACAGTTTCGAGAATAATCATATTAATATTGAATTGAAGTGAAATATTTGTGATAAAGTTAACAAACTTTATTCGTACTATTGGAGATTAACCATTCAATTCATAACATTAATTTTCTCATACATAAGACGTTGAAATTTTACTAAGCTCGTGTTCTTTTTTTTTTTTTTTTTTTTTATAGGAGAGGGGGCAAACGAGTATGCGGCTCACCTGATGGTAAGTGACTACCGCCGCCCATGAACAACCGCAACACCAGGGGAATTGCAGATGCGTTGCCGGCCTTTTAAAAAGGAGTAGGCTCTTTTCTTGAAGGTCCCTAAGTCGTATCGGTCCGGAAAAATCCCTGGTGGTAAACTATTCCACAAGGAAGTTGTGCGAGGAAGAAAACATCTTCTAAATCGCACAGTGGTGGACCGCCAATCATCCAGATAGTGTGGATGGTATCGGGAGTTCTGCCGCGATGTGCGTTCGTGAAATTTGGCGGCTGGGATTAATCCGAACAATTCCTCAGAGCACTCCCCATGGTAGATGCGAAAGAAAATGCAAAGAGATGCAACATCTCTTCGCAGTGCCAATGAATCGAGCCGATCGGAAAGGGCTCGGTCGTCGACGATTCGAGCCGCTCTGCGCTGGATGCGGTCAAGTGGAAGGAGCTGGCACTGGGGAGCCCCTGCCCAGAGATGGGAACAGTATTCCATGTGAGGCCGAACCTGCGCCTTGTAAAGTTGCAGGCGGTGTGCCGGCATGAAATACTGTCCCGCTCTGCTGAGCACGCCAAGCTTTTTAGAGGCCAATTTGGCCTTCTCTTCCAAGTGACCACGAAACTGCACGTCACTCGATATGTCGACTCCGAGGATACCGATACTGGTTGAGGCAAGAAGGGGAGTGCCTTGAAACTGAGGAGATACGACAAAGGGGTTCTTTTTAGCGGTAAACGCGCAAACTTGTGTCTTCTGAGGATTAAACTGGACTAGATTTAGTCGCCCCCAATCCGAGACTTTGTCCAGCAAAGACTCGACTTCAGACACAAGTTTGTTCCGGTACTCGGCGACGTTTTCCCGAGAAATATTGGCCCGGCCGGTGTATAGAGCATCACCAGTGCTGTCATCCGCATAGCAATGAATGTTACCAGTTAGCAACATATCATTGATATGCAGAAGAAACAGCGTTGGTGATAGCACACAGCCTTGTGGAACACCAGCGTTAATAGGCTTGTAGTCAGAACATGCACCGTCTACAACGACCTTGATGCTCCGATCTGCAAGAAAGCTGGTGATCCAATTGCACAATTTCTCGGGAAGCCCATAGGAAGGCAGCTTCGAAAGAAGCGCTTTGTGCCAAACCCGATCAAAGGCCTTCGCAATGTCCAGACTAACGGCCAACGCCTCCCCCTTGGACTCTACTGCCTTCGCCCATTTATGGGTCAGGTAGACCAGAAGATCACCAGCTGATCGACCCCGACGAAAACCGTATTGGCGGTCACTAATCAGCTGGTGATCCTCAAGGTACCGGATGAGCTGGCAGTTAATAATGGATTCCATTATTTTGGAGAACATTAGTTCCGAGATACACTGCGAGCACTGCTCAGTGCTCCCACTTGTGAAAAATTCGTTCCGTTATGGACTGCCAGTATACTGCCGCAGTACCCTAGGGATATATGTGACGTCATAAATCGCCGCCATTTTTGTACTGTGAGCACTGGTGCTTTCGAGTTAAGGTGCAACTTTGATCACGGAATCAAAAATATAACAGCACCTAGACATTCAACAGCTTCCACGAATGAATTATTAATTAATATTATTATCAAAATATACTCTGACATTGAGTTTTAAAAGCAGCACCATTCAAAAAATAATTTTACTTGTTGAACAGTAAACAAGTACATGATAAATATTTTCATTTGAAAACAGTGTCGAAAAATGAGTATGACAGTATACTGAACTGCGTTCCGTTTTAAACAGTAACCAGTACAGCAAACTAAAAAGGAACGGCTTCACAGTATACTGAATTGACGTCACACCTTACAGTGGTCACAGTGTATATCGGAACATACCCTAAAGAATTGCGAAACATATATACTTCGGAGTTTCGTTTGACAATATTACAAGATGTGAATACGTCTTTATATTTGCTTCCATAGTGGGTGGAAATTCAGAAAACTGATGATAACAAAATTAAAATTACACCAATCGATAGCAAAAGGATCAAAGAATGCGTTACGTAGATGAGGACCGTGACTTATCGCGCGCGGCGGAGGTGGGTCGTTTCGTTAAGTCACATAATTTCTCCCGGACCTGTGTAGTGAAAATAGGGACGAAATTATGAACCGAATTGTGACTGGGAATGAAACTTGGGTTCATTAACATGAGTTAAAGCGGTAGTCCATGCGGTAGCATAAAAAAGGCGCAGCAACGCCCAAGAAGTTTCAAGTGTCACAAACGGCTAGAAAGATTATGGCTTCAGTTTTATTTAAAGATAAAGGTGTCAATATCACGGAGCAGTATAGCGCTACGCCGCCAAAAAAATTAAAATATGCGATTATAGAAAAAAGAAGAGGAAATTGGGTCTCGAGGTGTATTCCTTTTGCAAGACAAGGTAACCGCCGTTCACAAGAGTCATATTACGATGATTTCCTTACACAAGTGCTGCTTCGAAACTTTAAATCACCCTCCCTAGAGTCCAGATTTGTCTCATTCGGATTATCATTTGTTTCCAAATATAAAAAAAAGACGAAAGAAATTTAGCCTTGGCAAAACATTTTTTAAATATCATAAATAAGTCATTTGTATGGTCTGAGAAGTGTATTAGGGTTAATGGAGAATAATAAATAATAAATAATCAAGGTGCGTGTGAACATTCTCCTGGGCAAACTCCCTCCATCGTTGATCTCATATTCGTCCTCGGGCCAGATGGAGGGGAAGAGAAAGCCCACTTCTAATTTAAAAATATATATATCGAAATGGAAAAAAATCATGTTTAATTTCACCATCTATCCATTGCATTCCGCGAACTTTTCGACATCCCCTCGTATAATAAATCAGTAGACAATACTGGTTACAATATTGCCAGGAGGCAGAAATAGTTAAGAGGACGATGCCAAACCAAACCTAGGAAAAAATAAGCCCTATCACTTAGTATGTTTGATTGATTGAAAGAAGTCCCGTTGTTTTCAAATCTTCTTCCACTTACCTTAAGAATGCTCTCCATATCAAGGCACAACAGGTCGTTCTTGCCCAGGGTTAGCATCGCGAGGGCCACTTTGAACACGATCTCGATACCCTCTGAGAGGAACACGTCCATGATCCGACACGCCAAGGGCAAGGTTAGGGTCGTCGTGAACAGTGTCAAGAACCAGCTGCTAGCGTATATGGATGTGCTAAAGCCCTGAAAAATAAAATAAGTTTAAATATTAATGCCTTCAAAAGTAATATAAATATTATTTTGAGTGACAGCTTAGTTGTGGTTCTGTTGAAATAGCAGTTATAATAATAATGTACTCCAGACCGAATTTCGGTCACGGCGGCCAGTCTCAACGGAGACTAGCCATCGGCGCAGGACAGGATTATAGTGCCCAAGTGTATGCGCAAGCACAGGTGCACTCTCTATTTCTTCACTCTCATAGTTCGATGGGACGGTAAACCTACACGACCGGAGAAAGATCAGGCGCAGGATCAACGGCTTTACGTGTTTTACGAGGCACAGCGGTGAGACACCGCCAACTTCCTGACTCCGGGCAGCTACTGAGAATTTCTTGACGGAAAAACTCAATAACTGATTTAATATCAGTTATTATCAATATGGGATAGTACAATTACGGTGTAATGTTTCATTGCCTGTGACTGGTTCTCTATACCATCCATACCATGCAAGCACTAATATTAATAAATTAAAATTCCAAGGAGTATGATACAATAAAACAAAAATAAGATCCTTATAAATACATGTACCACCAACTAATCGTAGACGCGTATAACGTAAACAACTTACGCGCGGACAAAGAACTAGACCAAGTCTCAGCTAACGGAAAGCGAAGTATGGGGCAAAGCCCCCCCCCCCCACTCGATGGAATGACAACCTGGTAAGAGATGCAGGATGTTATGTTCAATGGGTATCCCTCAGGGCTCAATTCTTGGCCCATTCCTATTTTTAGTATATATTAATGACTTACCTTCCCTTGTACGGGATAATACTTCCTTGATTTTTAAACTTAAACGTCAATCTATATCAAAAATCAAATCATGCTATGTATAGCAAAATTAGTATAAATGCATTGATTTAACGTTAATAATCTACATTTAAACGGAAATAAAACTAAATGTTTTAAATTTACAATACCGAATGTTAAAAATCTGAATACCAATGTGTTTTTAAATGGGGAAGAACTGAGCCCTGTTGAATCCACCCCAATGCGTGTTGGGGATCTTCACGCTGGTATTCTGTATGAATGATCCTTGATTAATTAGTGGAGCAGGCATAATAGCGCTATTATGCTATCGTCATCGTTATCATTACAGCCTCCAAGGGATGCCGCAAAGCACGTCCTGAGCCTGAGCGATGAATGATGATCATCGACTTCCTGCATCTCTTACCAGTTCGTTAGTAGGAGAGCCGTACAATTCGCTTCTTATGCTAAATAAGGCCGGCCACATACATACGGAATTCCCTTTCGGGATTCCGTTTCGGTATTACGAACGCGTAGGCCACACACATAAGGAATTCCGTTTTGCCCGCAAAATTTCGAACGGAAAACTACCGTACGTGTGTGACTGGTCACAGATTTTATATGAACTTGCTGCGTTCGGAATCTAGAATCGGGCCTAATACTATGTTTTGTTTTGAATTTTTTTTATATTTGTTTTCTGATGTGTGCTTAGAATAGAATTAGTAACATAATACACTATACTAGATTGGTTGGGATCTCACCTGTGACTGAAAGTGCACGTGCAAATCTGGCAGCAACTCCTGGACAAGATTCTCCAGCTGGAACATGCAGAGTCCCAGCTCCGCCATGCTCGGCTTGAACATGTCTCGCATACGATGCTGCTGCATTATCTTCACGAGCACCGCGAACGCTTCCTCCTCCGGCATCTTGGTAATACATAGTAAAAAATAAGGATATCGTGGGTAGTTGCAATGTCAACACGTAAATTTTGCGTGCTTTTTATATTTAAAAAATATATAATTATATTGATAAGTTTTTTAGTGTGGCCTTGGTAGACATGAAACGACTATGCTAAATAAAGTTCGTTGTTTCAGGGCATTTTGGAAAAACAAAATAAAAACCATGAGTCGCTCGCGTCCATAGGCTTCGACCACCTAATCCAAGGCTCACCCTACACGTGTTCCCCGGGTGGTGCTAAACGAGCGACAAAGGCGACAAAGCCGATAGGATAGACTCGGCTCCTCGCCGTATGGTAGCGGCGTGAAATCTACCACCCCTTAGTTCGCACCATGAGCCAAGAAGAAAAAGAAATGGCCCCGAGTACCCGGCGCCCCTTTTAATGGAGCAGGGGTGCGAAGAATCTCCGGGAGAAAAACCGGCGACAAGGTTCGCCACCCGTCACGTCCTGTGTCCCGGAGGGGCGAAAAGTGGATTGTAGGAGGCCCGTCTGGCTACGCTGAATACGCTATGTGGAGCAATGAATGATAAGATGGATGAAGTATGCGAAATTATGAATGATAGAGGAATAGATGTATTATGTGTAAACGAGACGAAAGAAAGGGAAGAGATGTCACTGCACATGGCATGTATACCGCTGACTGGTCTGGAGTAGACGAGACTGAGCGGGCATGCCAGGGAGTCGGTGTCATCCTTTCAGAAAGAATGGGTCAATGTGTGAAAGAGTATGAATGTGTAAGCCCAAGGCTGCTGTGGATACGAATGAAAGTGGGCTTAAAGAAGTTGTTTGTGCTAGGGAAGTACGCCCCAGATATGTCTAAGCCCACTTATATCCGAGAGCAGTTTTGGGACATGGTAAGGCTGGTATTGATGAAATGTAAGGAAAATGAAAATATTATTATGTTAGGAGATTTTAATGGAAGGGTTGGGGTGAAGAGGTCTGGTTATGAAAGGATATTAGGAACGTTTGGCGATGAAAGAATAAATGAGAATAGTGAAGACCTCCTCACCGTATGTGTGGAAAAGAATCTTTTTGTGGCGAACACTTTCTTTTGCCGTAAGAGGATTCACATGTATACATGGGAAAGAGGGGATGATAGAAGCATGATAGATGTCATAATTGTGGATGAAAGAATGAGGAGCGCAGTGGTAGATACAAGGGTTTACCGGGGGTCCAAAGTAGGGACGGATCATTACTTGGTCTTATGCCGAATTAATGGTCTATTCAGACGTTGGCGGCATCGGACATCTGTGTCTACCACTGCGTTACAGCGTATAAGAATAGAGAGGTCACAAGATGAAGGTGTGAAAGAGAAGTATAAATGCAGACTGAGGGAAAATATAAGTGGGTTGAATGAATTATATATAAATGATTTAGACTTGAAGAATGTATGGAATAATATTAAGAAAGTTTTGGTGGATGCAGCCACCGAAGTAAGTGGTATAAGTAAGAGAACGAATGAAAGGAAAAGTAATACGTTGTGGTGGGATAATGAGATACGGATGGAAGTTGAAGCAAAGAAGAGAGCATGGCTAGATTTACTAGCAACTTAAGCTGGTAATTCTGGCGGTATGAATGATGAGATTGAAAGAAAAAAGGCAGACTTTAGACGTATAAATAAGAGAGTAAAAAAAGTTGTTGAAAGGAAAAAGCAAGAAAGGATAGATAAGAATGATAGAAGGATATCTGATAACTTCCAGGCAAATATTAAAATGTTCTGGAAGCTCGCAAGAACTGGCAGGGGAAATTCAAAACAGCCTAGAATGAATGCTATACGAGACGAGAATGGCTGCACGCTGAATGATGAAGTTTCGAATTTAAAAAGATGGAAGGAATACTCTGAAAGCGTGTTTAAGAGGGAAGAGTCGTCTGAAGTAAGTGAAATAGAAATTCCGGAAGAAGTGGAGAGAGGTAGGGAGATAAGTATAGATGAAATAATGAAAGCAATGAAAAGCATGAAAGCAGGTAAGGCAGCCGGATATGATAGAGTATCACTAGAGTAAACTGTATGCTAAGGTGTTAATTGAAAGAGTTATGGAAGAAACTGATGGAAAAATTTGGGATGTGCAAGCTGGATTTAGAAAGGGGATGGGGTGTACGGATCAAGTCTTTTCCATGCGCATGATAGCGGAGAAGTTTTTGGCCAAAAACCAGAAAGTTTTTTGTGCGTTCATGAACTTGGAAAAGGCTTATGACAGAGTGGATAGGAATGTGTTATGGCAAACACTGAACTCATTTGGGTTGAGCGCTGGCTTAATACAGGTATTAAGGTCTCTTTATAGGAACTCTAGTGCTTGTGTCAGGATCAACGGGGTCTACTCCGACTGGTTTGGCATTCATAAAGGTGTCAGACAGGGATGTGTGGCTTCCCCGTGGCTGTTTAACCTATTTATGGACAGTTGTTTGCAAACTTTGAAAGTTGAAGAATGTGGGTTGAGAATGGGTGAGTCAACCGTCAAATGCCTCTTGTACGCCGATGATTAAGTCATATTTGTATCGTTGGCGGCCGAGTTGCAAATGATGGTTACTTTAATGAACTGGTCATTGAAAGAAAGGGGTATGAAAGTAAACGCAAGTAAGACGATTGTGATAGTTTTTGAAAGAGAAGAAAGTAAAACGTTATGTGAAATAAGAATAGAAGGTTAGTTGATTGGGCAAGTGGATGAGTTTGTATATTTGGGATGTTCATTTAGCAGGGATGGTAGATATGATAAGGATATAGAACGACGAGTGAACGCAGGAAATAGAGTGAATGAGGCTCTACGCTCTATTATGAGGAGTCCGAATGTGTCAAATAAGGCATGTATGGTAATTCATAATGCTGTGTTAGTCCCTACTTTAATGTATGGTAGTGAAAGTTGGGTATGGCAGAAGAAGAGTAGAATAAATGCTGTAGAAATGCGGTCCTTAAGGAGTATGCTAGGGCTGAATCTGAACGACAAGGTGAAAAATAGTGTGGTAACAGAAAAGTGTGGTTTGCAAGATGACGTTGTGACAAGGATTAAGAAAGGAATGCTTCGGTGGTTTATTCATGTAGAAAGAATTAACGAGGAAAGAGTGAGAAAGCAAATTTATGTTGCAGAAGTGAAAGGTAGGGTCGGGAAGGGACGCCCTAGACGAAGGTTTCAGACCAAATCGGCGATATATTAAAAATGGGCCAGATTAGGAGTACCCTTAACGGACGAGCGTGTATGCGTAGATATATAGATGTAAAGGAGGCGAGAGAGGTGTGTCAGGATCGCGCCAAATGGAAGTCCGTAGTCTCTGCCTACCCCTCTGGGTGACAGGCGTGAGTGTTTATGTTTTATGATATTATTTTTAATATAATATGCAATCAATTAAAGGTAACAGATACAGAAAGATTGTATTAGGTCTGCTAGCGGCTCAGTGTTGAAACAGCTAAACTAGTATACTTTAGTTATTTCCATAGCATAATGTTGTATAGTATTGTGCTATGGAGACACACGACTGACACTGAAATTATATTTGTTTTACAGAAGAGGACCATTAGAGCAAACTATGATTTAAAACCTAAAAAGCTGCTCGGTCAAAAATTTAAGAAAATTAATATATTAACTATGGTCTCTCAATAAATTTATGAAAATGTAATGTACGTACACAAAAATTAAAGTAGTTTTACAAAAATAAGTGATATTCATTCTGTAAATACTAGGAACAGACAAGTTAGTGAAAATAATCCCTGAAAATGAGGTGATCACTACCAAGCTATTTCTAATTTGTTTTGTGTTGTTAATTGTGTATGGTTGTAAGTTGTTATTTAAAAAAAAAAAAACTCGCGCTGGGTTTCTTGCTGGTTCTTCCCAGGACAGTTTTTGTTCCGAATCAGCGGTAATTTAACATAAAAGCGAATTTTAATAAGTATTATCTTTCATGTAAGAAAAATGCTGGTAGGTTTTCACGGCATGGTTCTCTGAATGATGTCATCCGAAGGGCTCTTGTCTCTATAAATTTTCCCTCGGTTTTAGAGCCTTGTGGAATATTTAGAGACAATGGCAAGAGACCGGACGGTATGACAGGGGTCCCTTGGGAGAGAGGTAAAGCCCTAGTGTGGGATGCTACTTGCGTAGAAGTTTTGGCAGCCTCTTATCTCAGGAGTACCTCGTTTAGAGTCGGGGCGGCATCAGAGGCAGCTGAACTGAGTAAGTGGCGCAAATATAGTCTCTGAGAGATGACTACATATTTGTGCCATTTGCTGTAGAAGTTACCGGTCCGTGGGGTCCACGTGCGGTGAAGTTCCTAAAGGAACTCTATCCGCGACTGGTCGGTGCTGCTGGTGATAAGAGGACTGGTTCTTTTCTCGCTGAAAGGCTAAGTATTGCCATTTAGCGGGAAAACGCAGCCAGCGTTCTTGGCACGATACCGCGGGCAGTAGGACTGTATGATAATTAAGTTACTAGTTTTAGTTTTTTTAAATTATTGTTTTTAATATTGTATATAATAAAATATTGTATATTTTAATAAATAAATAAAATGGGTAACAAATTAATTATTAATTTATAATCTACATTGAATAAAAAAGTTACTGTTTCTGTTTGTGACAATATGCTCTAGGCATTTTAATTTAGGGATTATATTTAACACTTTTCCAAGAAGTTATACAGGTGGTACACTGCCACACCCCTCGATTCAAATACCATTATTATTTCACTTTTATTTGAATTATATTTAAGACCGTGTTTTATCTCGTAGGTTTCACATACGGGCAATATATTCCTTAAGGCACTAATTGAGGAGCTCAGCAGCATGCATGCGGGCTGTTATACTGGCGGAAATTGCATATTCCAGTTCATTCACTGAACACTGAACCCCACTGAAAATATCACCTTAATAATTGCTATCGACGGGGGTGGCATAAGTTCGTCAGTGCACTTTTGGTAGAGTCCACCTATTCATCCATTACAGCCTATTAAAGTTCACTGCTAAACATAGGCCTTCGTAATTGATTGC